TGACCAACCTAGACAGCATATTAAAAAGCAGAGACATTACTTTGCCAACAAAGGTCCATCTAGTCAAAGCTATGATTTTTCCAGTAGTCATGTATGGAAGTGAGAGTTGGACTATAAAGACAGCTGAGTGCCAAAGAATTGATACTTTTGAACTGTGGTGTTGGAGAAGACTCTTGAGAGTCCCTTGGACTGCAAGGAGATCCAACCAGTCCATCCTAAAGGAGATCAGTCCTGGGTGTTCATTGGAAGGGCTGATGCTGAAGCTGAAACTCCAGTACTTTGGCCACTTCATGCGAAGAGTTGACTCATTGGAAAAGACCCTGATGCTGGGAGGGATTGGGGGCAGGAGGAGGAGGGGAGGACAGAGGATGAGATGGCTGGATGGCATCACCGACTCGATGGGCATAAATTTGAGTCAACTCCGGGAATGGTGATGGACAGGGAGGCCTGGCATGCTGCAATTCATCGGGTCACAAAGAGTTGGACATGACTGAGCAACTGAACTGAACTGATATATATATGGGGTTCCTAGGTGGCTCTAGTGGTAAAGAACCTGCCTTCCAATGCAGGAGACTAAGAAACATGGGTTTGATCTCTGCATTGGGAAGATCCCCTGGAGGAGGGCATAGCAACCCAGTCCACTGTTCTTGCCTGGAGAATTCCATGGACAGAGGAGCCTGGCAGGTTACAGTCCACAGGATCGCAAAGAGTCAGGCATGACTGAAGTGGCTTAGCATGCATGCACGCATACATGTGTAAATATTCATGTATAACTGAATCACTTTGCTGTACACTTGAAACTAACACAACACTGTAAGTTAACAATACAATAGTTCAATTTAAAAAAAAGAAAGAATAAGTGAAATGTTCACTTTTGGAAATATAACTCAGAGTGATGGTGAGGTGGTTTAGGGGCTAAGAGTTTTTGCTGAAAACCCTTAAATAATGAAGTTCACATGAAATGTCAACTAAAATTCAAATAACAATACACACGTATGTGATGCTTTCAATTTTCTTTATTTTCTAACAACTACTTAAACCACTCAACAAAACACTCTACAACATAATTTAAGAAAACTTCTGCAAATTTTAGGGTGGAAATTAGACCCTACCATTAAAACATCACACAAGCACTTATTTTCTGAGGGGACATTTAACTTTGTGGTATTCCTTACAGGTGATGGTACATTTTAATTCTATATACCACAATGAGAATTCACCCTGAGCACAAAGCTCTTTAAAATAAAACAACACATGTGTATACCATGTGGCTGATTCATGTTGATGAAAGGCAGAGATAAGCACAATACTGTGCAGCTATCATCCTTCAATAAAAAAAATTTAAAAAATAAAATAAAACATCATTTCTTCTGAACCATTTCAGATTCAGTTGCTATGTCTTTTTTTTTTTTTTCCCCTCAGAAGTTAAAACTACACTCAATCTGCTTCCCGGAGCCACAGCCTTGAGCTTATAGCAGATTTGTACAGAGTACACCATGGGCTCCTCAGAATCCTCCACCAGCGATGCCTCCCGTTCACGTTATCACAGGTAGAAGAGAGAATTGGCTAATTCCAAACTTGGTTCTTTATGAAGGTTTTGTGCCACCAGGAAGGTCAGCTTGCGTGCATACTGACAGGGAGCCGGAATACTGATTAGGCCCTAAGAAGGAAAACGTATTGATAGTAATTAAGAAGAAAACTTATTCTTCAAAACGGTATTTCTTCTGAGTTTTTTCATCCACCAGTTATACATATGTTAGAATGTGTGTAAATCAGTTAAGAACTCAACAACAAAGGGCGACCTTGCTCAGTGAGAACTTAAATTCACTGGGCAGGATGCGGGATCAGAGAGGGCCAGTCTGGTTTCACGAGGCCAGGACCTGTGAACCACACACTGAGGGCTGACCTACGCTTCCTACAACTTGATGCTCTGAGAGGCTGAGAGCAAATCTTGGCTTTGGACCTTGACAGCAGCTGTGGAACGGAGTCATGCCTGTTGCCCTCCCACCAGACACAATATCTGAGTTGTCTTCAACTGTATCATATGTAACTTGTAAATAACAATACCCTGATTTCCTCCCAGACCAGTATAAAATAATGTATATCGTAAAGTCTTTGAGAAATTATCAGTGCTAATGAATTCTAATAGTTACTGGTGTTTAATATCTATGATAGACCGGGTTTCATCCAGTGTGGACTAAGAAGCCATCCATCCATCCATTTATCCCTCCTCTGTGGAAATTCAGACATTGTGCTAAAGGTGAATTGGGTGACAACTTCCAGGCGGACACCCTGAGTTCTACTCTGCAACTAAGTGCAGAGCTGTCACTCACCATCCAGTTGTAGTACAGGTGACACAGTTTGAATGTGAGTCTCTGCATGTGGTCGGGTTTCAGGCCATTGTCATCATAAATGACGTTGTAGTAGGTGGGATTAACAGTTCCCCGAAAGGCCACCTGGCTGATCAAGTAAAAGTCATACCTGAGGGGAAAGGAAGGATTGTGAGAAAGAAGGTATGCAGAGCAGGGCCAAACTTGACCACACACGTTCAAAGCTTTGTTAACAACAGATTTTCTAACAGACTTGCCATTCCGGTCGTGTTGCTTCTGAATCCACAACAGTGCCAAGTGGTGGGTTCTGCAGAGTTCGGCCACTTTCCGCCAAGAATCGTGGCATGCCCTTCTTCCTGACCACAATCACTGACAGTTTGGGGCTTAAAACCAGAGAGGCAAAGTAAAAAATAATAGTAATAATAATAATAATAATAAGATGGAGAGAACTAAAACCAAGCCATGCAGCCGATTCTATTTATTTATATATCTTTGGCAATTTTAAAATGAAATACATTAATTCATTCACAAAATTCTGCAAAACAAAGAAAATTAAAATTACCCTTAATCTCCCCTCCTCCCTGAAATATAAACAATCTTTAAATTAAGGATCATCTTCATTTGTTCCAAAAGTGTGGTATGTCCAATCACTTGACCGATTTCCATCGTTGAAAGGGGATGGGGAAGAATGGTTCAAGGGACAATAAATTACAATTAGCACATCTAAAGAAAGCATTTGTAGAATAATACACGGAGACAAGATTCTTTTTTCCATTAGCAGTCATCTCCCTGTTTCACCTTCACTCTTCTTCTCAATTTCTGAGTAATAAATGGAAAACTAGAAGCTCTCCTTAATCCTCCAGTCGTTGCTTCTGAATCCTGCAAAACACATGCCGGGGAGGGTGGATGGACAGACCACATACATCTTGGGGCCAAATGCTGAAGGACCCGGTGTTAAGTGTTAATAGATAAAGTCCAAATATTCACCCCCGGTAGCTCAGTGGTAAAGAATCCACCTGCAATGCAGGAAACAGGTTCAATCCCTGCATCAGGAAGATTTCCTGGAGAAGGAAATGGCAACCCACTGCAGTATTCTTGCCTGTGAAATCCCAGAGACAGAGAAGCCTGGTGAGCTACAGCCCACGGAGTCTCAAAAGAGTCAGACATGATTGGGAGACTAAACAACAAATATTTGCCATTATGGGAGAAACCTCCAGATCACTGAAAATTCACGTTAGGCACTTTATCTTAAAAATAATTAATGTTTTCAATCTCGAAACTTTTTAAAAGTTGATGACACGGTGCAGGAGAATTAACTCTTTAGCATTGTCAGCTGCTAAAATATCTCCTGCGATCCCCAAATTGCATGCTTGTGACTCTTGGGTCAGTTAGATTGACCCAACGCAAACCACTTCAGTATTCTTGCCTTGAGAACCCCATGAACAGAATGGAAAGGCAAAAAGATAGGCACTGAAAGAAGAACACCCCAGGTTGGCAGGTGCCCAATATGCTACTGGAGAAGAGTGGAGAAATAACTCCAGAAAGAATGAAGAGATGAAGCCAAAGCAAACACAATGCCCAGTTGTGGACGTGACTGGTGGTGAAAGTAAAGTCCAATTCTGTAAAGAACAATATTGCATAGGAACCTGGAACGTTAGGTCCATGAATCAAGGTAAATTAGAAGTGGTCAAACAGGAGGTGGCAAGAGTGAACATTTACATTTTAGGAATCAGTGAACTAAAATGGACTGGGATGGTTGAATTTAATTCAGATGACCATTATATCTACTACGGTGGACAAGAATCCCTTAGAAGAAATGGAGTAGCCCTCAGGGTCAACAAAAGAGTCCGAAATGCAGTACGATGCAATCTCAAAAATGACAGAATGATCTCTGTTTCCAAGGCAAACCATTCAATATTACAGTAATTGAAGTCTATGCCCCAAACACATGCCAAAGAAGTTGAAGCTGAATGGTTCTATGAAGACCTACAGGACCTTCTAGAACTAACCAAAAAAAGTGACCAAAAAAAAAGATGTTTTTTTCATTATAGGGGACTGGAATGCAAACATAGGAAGTGAAGTAACAGGCAAGTTTGGTCTTGGAGTACAAAACGAAGCAGGGAAAAGGTTAACAGAGTTTTGCCAAGAGAACACACTGGTCATAGCAAACACCCTCTTCCAACAACACAAGAGAAGACTCTACACGTGGACATCACCAGATGGTGAATACTGAGATCAGATTGATCTTACTCTTTGCAGATGAAGATGGAGAAGCACTATATAGTCAGCAAAAACATGGCCAGGAGCTGACTGTTGCTCATATCATGAACTTCTTATTGCCAAATTCAGACTTAACTTGCAGAAAGTAGGGAAAAACCACTAGGCCATTCAGGTACGACCAAAACGAACTCCCTTACAATTATATAGTGGAAGAGACAAATAGATTCAAGAGATTAGATCTCATAGAGTGGCTGAAGAACTATGGACAGAGGTTTGTGACATTGTACAAGAGGCAGTGATCAGGACAATCCCCAAGAAAAAGAAACGCAAAAAGGCAAAATGGTTGTCTGAAGAGGCCTTACAAACAGCTGAGAAAACAAGAGATGCTGAAGTCAAGGGAGAAAAGGAAAGATATATTAGTATGAATGCAGAGCTCCAAAGAATAGCAAGGCGAGATAAGAAAGCCTTCCTCAGTGATCAATGCAAAGAAATAGAGGAAAACAGTAGAATGGGAAAGACTAGAGCTCTCTTCAAGAAAATTAGAGATACCAAGGGAACATTTCATGCAAAGATGGGTACAATAAAGGACATAAACAGTATGGACCTCACAGAAACAGAAGATATTAAAAGGTGCCAAGAATACACAGAAGAACTATACAAAAAAGTATCTTAACGACCCAGATAACCACGATGGTGTGATCACTCACGTAGAGCCAGACATCCTGGAGTCCAAAATTAAGTGGCCTGAGGAAGCATCACTACGAACAAAGCTAGTGGAGGTGATGGAATCCCAGTTCAGCTATTTCAAATCCTAAAAGATGATGCTGTGAAAGTGCTGCACTCAACATGCCAGCAAATTTTGAAAACTCAGTAGTAACCACAGGACTGGAAAAGATCAGTTTTCATTCCAATCCCAAAGAAAGGCAATGCCAAAGAATGTTCAAACTACCACACAATTGCACTCATTTCACATACCAGGAAAGTAATGTTCAAAATTCTCCAAGCCAAGCTTCAACAGTACATGAACCAAGAAATTCCAGATGTTTAAGCTGGATTTAGAAAAGGCAGAGGAACCAGAGATCAAATTGCCAACATCTGTTGGATCATAGAAGAGCAAGAGAGTTCCAGAAAAACATCTGCTTCATTGACTATGTTAAAGGCTTTGACTGTGTGGATCACAATAAACTGTGGAAAATTCTTCAAGAGACAGGAATACCAAACCAGCTGACCTGCCTCCTGAGAAATTTGTATGCAGGTCAAGAAGCAACTGTTAGAACTGAACATGGACCAATAGACTGGTTCCAAATTGGGAAAGGAGTATGTCAAGGCTGTGTATTGTCACCCTGCTTATCTAATTTATATGCAGAATACATCATATGAAATGCTGGGCTGGATGAAGCACAAGCTCAAATCAAGATTGCTGGGAGAAATATCAACAACCTCAGATATGCAGATGACACCACTGTTACAGCAGAAAGTGAAGTGGAACTAAAAAGCCTCTTGATGAAAGTGATAGAGGAGAGTGAAAACCTGGCTTAAAGCTCAACATTCAGAAAACGAAGATCATGGCATCTGGTCCCACCACTTCATGGCAAATGGATGGGAAAACAATGGAAATAGTGACAGACTTTATTTTGGGGGGCTCCAAAATTATCACAGATGGTGACTGCAGCCATATTAAAAAATGCTTGCTCCTTGGAAGAAAAGCTATGATCAACTTAGACAGCATATTAAAAATAAGAGGTATCACTTTGCCGACAAAGCTCTATCTAGTCAAAGCTATGGTTTTTCCAGCAGTCATGTATGGATGTGAGAGTTGGACCATAGAAAGGCTGAGCGCTGAAGAATTGATGCTTTTGAACTGTGGTGTTGGAGAAGAGTCTTGAGAGTCCCCTGGACTGCAAGGAGATCCAACCAGTCCATCCTAAAGGAAACCAGTGCTGAATATTCATTGGAAGGACTGATGATGAAGCTGAAACTCCAGTACTTTGGCCACCTATTATGAAGAATTGACTCATTGGAAAAGACCCCGATGCTGGGAAAGATTGAAGGCAGGAGGTGAAGGGGACAACAGAGGGTGAGATGGTTGGATGGCATCATGGGTTTGATGGACATGAGTTTGAGCAAGCTCCAGGAGTTGGTGATGGGCAGGAAGGCCTGGTGTGCTCCAGACCATGGGGTCACAAAGAGTCACACACGACCGAGCGACTGAACTGAACTGAACTGAAGTGGCCCGAGGTCAGTGGGGAATGAGAAAGTTTGGTTCTGATAGTTTGAATGCAGCTAAAGGTGGTTTTGCCACTCCACTATGATGCTCTCCCTCCTCTCTGATGGTCACTGATGAGGTCAAGGTTTGGCTCCTTTGAGCTTCTACAGTAGTGATGATGGTATAACCCTACAGAGGAGAGGGAGTGCTATGCACAACTTGGAATATAAGGCTTTCTGAGGATTTTAAGGAGCCATCTTAAGATCACAATCATCCTCCATTTTTCCGGTTCTAACATTTTCTTGCACTTACCACTGGATATAATCATGGGGGATAATGAACCAAGACATTGAATCTACAAATCTGACAGTAAAGGAAGGTTCCTGGTATTTAGCATGGTCTGATTTCCAAACGCAGCCTTGATTTCACAGCACCCACAGCACTCTCAGCATCTTCCACACACCTGAGCTGCATATCAGTGCCTGCATGTCAAAGTCTTTCACCCTGTGTGTTGATCTGGGCCTCGAATTTGAAACCAGAGCTTGTTTTTTTTTCCCCCGGCATGTTAATATGTATGAAGCATCTTTAGCTGCCAGCAGCCCTGCAGGCTTCCTGCTGAATCTCAATGTCAGCTGCTCTGGAGATTCCTGCCTTCTTCTGGTACCCCCACCCAGGGCCCCCAAAAGCTCACAGCACCCAGACGATTTACATAAGACCATCCCAACCACCCTCCAATCTAGGGGTGGTTGTACTAGCATAAAGCAGAAATGGAGAACAACTCAACTGCGTGAAAAATAAAAGAGACAGATGCACATAATAATTTTAATAGTTACAATGAATGTGCTAGAATTGGAAGTGGGAAAAGAATACTCATTTGATACCTGGTAATTGAACTTGCTTCAGTCACACTGCTCAGCAGTTGTGGGACTTCATAGTCAACAAGTGTCTTGAGCTGACCATCGCCGACACCGTCACGGTACACAATTATCCGTGCTGGCAAACCATGGTTATGCCTATACCACCTGTTCAGTGCCCCTGCAGGATTTGATGTTAGTAACAAAAGGATGACTTGTCCAATGCCAACAAAGAATAACATTCCCACATATTTCAATGTTTAAGTAGCTTGCTATTTCAGACCACAGTGATATAGGATAATACTTAATTTGGGTTGTATTTGTAATAATATAAAATTGGATAACTTTCTGGAACATTGCCACATTTCTCCTATTTAAGGAATCATAATGGCTTCTGTGGCATAATATATACTCAAACTCAGCATATCTCTTTAGTAAAATTTTAATATCTAAGCAATAAATTAAAATTTAATTTCTGCAATAGACAAATCCCCTCAAACCAAATTAATACTGATTTAGTTTATTTAAATCTTTAAATCCTCTCAATAAGTGAAGACTGGATAATATTATGTAATTTTCTTCTCTAATGAGCATAATATGAAAACATAAGGAAAAGTCTTGGCTGTTCCTCTAAAAAACATCTCTTCACACTGACTCACCCATAAGTCTTGCTGACAATACGAACTCTGAAAAATTTCCACTCACTTTAAGAAACTGCCTAAAGAGCAGAGACTCCTAACCCAACAGAAACTTTTCATAACTACTGCTAAAAAAATGACCAGGTTTTGAAGTGAAGGGAAAGTAATATGATAAAATATTTCTTTTCCTGCATATATGGTACCATTGTATCAGGAGAGTTTACAGTCCAGGAGATTCACTTTAGCTTGTAGAAGATGACCATATGTATAAGTCCACTACCAGTACATATCACCAAATGCACCTTTTTGGGAAACAAATATTTACAACCCCTCAAAGTTCATAGTTGTGATGAAGCAGATTAGGGGCATGGGGAGTTGTACAGGTCACATTGCTAGGCAGTGACCCAGCCAGCTCCGGACCTGAGTTGGAACAGATATGGGAACCCCAGAGCCCTCTTTCCACTGCATCCCTCTGTGAGGAGGGCACCCTCCCCATCTGCTGTCTTCCCAGTTTTCTCCTCCGATGCCACACCTGACCTGCCAGCACCCCCACCCCAGTCCCCCAAGCTTCTCTCCTGTTTCTAGACCTGGTCGGTCACAATCCTTGTTCCTCCGGGCTAAGTTTCTTTCCGCCTTCAAACTGCTTGCCAGAGCCACCAGCAGCGACAAACTTTCTCTCCTCCTGGCTTTCAATTTTTCTTTTTTTTTTTTTCTGGCTTTCAGGTTTTCACACAGAGACACAAACACAAATTCCACAGAGCCTATCTGCCAGCCTGAGTCAGGCCGCAGCTCTGGGGTTTCCAGCTAGGTGGGAGCCGACTGACTCAGGGAGACTTAGGGAGTCTGTTCCACCTGTCTGCTCTGCCAGAAGCTTATGGGCTTTGGGTCTGAAGGAGCAGTCCTTGGAGCCCACCCCCACTGCTATGAGTTTAGTACCGATCATGAACACTTTTAAGCAATCTGCAACATGAGCTGATGTTTTCTGAAGAATACAGCGGGAAAACCACCTAAAGAAAGCAAAGAACCGAAGTAAAGTTCACCTTTGAAAGTTCTGCTATAAACATGCATAAGTATTAAATTAAGAAGTAGACATTATAACTAAATCAATGTTCATAACTTTGTCTACACTATATGATCACTATTATATTAAAATGCTCTCCCTCACCCCCCTTCCATTCAATAAAATTCACTGATACTAGAAACTAAAGCACAGTGTTAGCATCAGATATCTCTGGGTTCAAGTCTTGGCTGGTAAATTCACCAACTGTGTGACTTTATTATATGAACCTAAGCCTCAGTTTCCTCATTTGTGCAAAGGAAATTTACAAAATAGTAATGTAGTTAGTGGGCTCCCTAGGTAGCTCAGTGGTAAAGAATCTGCCTGCCAATGCTGGAGGCACAGAAAACTTGGGCTCAATCTCTGGGTCAGAAGATACCCTGGAGGAGGAAATGGCAACCCACTCCAGTACTCCTACCTGGACAATCCCATGAACAGAGGAGCCTGGTGGGATACAGTCCATGGGACTGCAAAGAGTCAGACACGACTGAACTGACTTAGCATGCAAAGCAGTTAGTATCTCATAGGGTTGTTGTAAAAATTAGATAAAATATGCAAAGTACTTGGTTCAGCACTTGGTACATAATAAGCACTGATAAATACAGGCCACTACATTATTATAAGGAAATGTATTAGTTTAGCAGTAGACCTTCCACTTTCAAATTATTCAAAGATTTCTCAAGTATAAACTTCATTTCTATAGGTAAGCTTTGGGGAATTGATATCTTAACATGATTGACTTAATCTAGACTTCAGAAGCAAGTTCTCTTGCTAAAATTATTAATTAAAAGCACTTATAAAATGAAGATCATGACTTAGTGATACCTAATACCTCCATTTCTCTAGTTCTCTAAAAATGCACAATAATCATGATGCAATTAGAAGTACTGCTAAGAAGCCAGAAGTCCCTTGGGTGTTTGATTAAGGAAGTGATGCAGAGAACAGGGATCTCATACAACCTGGAATAAAGTTGGAGGCATGCAAACTGCTGCTTCGTCCATTTCCCACAATCCCAAATATATTCCTGATCACAAATTTAGTGGAGTAAATCAAAGAGCTTAATTCTAGGAAGAAAACTTGTTGCAAACAGCCTCAAAACACATTGTTTAGTTATAAATATTGAAACGATTCTAAGAACTACAATCTAATATGTACTATAAGTCAATGTTTAATGTGTTATCATTCATCCTGCCTATGTTTGCTTTTTTTTTTAAAGATGATGTATTTTATTTTTGTTTATTAATTTTTGGCTGTGTGTCTCAGCATATGGGATCTTAGTCCCCCAACAAGGGGTCAAACCCGTGTCCCTTGCAATGAAAGAGCAGAGTCTCAACCACTGGACCGCCAGGGAAGTGCCCTGCCTATGTTTTTAAAAGCTGTGTAAATAAATAACCACCACATCAAATTTCTGTGACTATTAAAAATATTAACAAGCATGTCTTGAACAGAATAGATAAGTTGCAGATCAGGATATAAATCCAGGCAACCTGATTCTCAACCGCTTGACATCATGAATGTAAACTTCCTAGTACAGAGCATATAAGAAATAGCCTGTCCTAATGTATGTATAAAAATAGTATTTTATTGAAGCTAAATTTTACCCCAATATTACCCATCACATTTATACATGTGAGTATAATTTGTGACCATAAGTGTTCACATTTTAAAAATGAGTGAAGAATACAAACTATTCCTTGCTGTATAGCTGTTAGTTAAATAAGAAGTAAAAGTCTAAAGAGCTGAAGACTATGTTAGGGTAATTTTAAAAGTACCTGGTGATTCTGGGGTTAATACTGGCCACAAATCCAACCACCACCATTCCCTCGCTGAATGCATCTTTACAGACATTGATACCAACCACCATCAGGGATTTTAACTGTAAAATTAGATTTTTTCATGATTTAATGGAATGAGGTATTATTTTTCCAAGTAATGACTTAATATGAAGTTTTTAAAAGACTCTCTGTAGTTATGAAATTATTTAAACTCTGCACCAGGGAGATCAAGGTCCAGTTGAGGCAGATTATTAAACCAGAAACCAGAGAAACTTAAAGACAGAGAGAGGAATATAGTACATACTTTGATTAAGAGAGACACTGTAATCCAAAATGGCCACCAACCACTATTGGGGTGGGCAAGGGCCATCAATGGCTTAAGAGTTCGGGTAAAGCGGTGGGTCTGTTTATCCCTTGCCTCAGGGCTGAAGGAATCTGAAGGGAAATTCCATTCCCCATTCTTTTTTTTTTTCCATTTTTTCCCCTGTTTTTTTTTTTTTTTTTTTTTATTATTTGGACTTTAGCTCTCCAAGGAATCCTCCCCTGTCTGCATACCTCCGTGCGTCCGGGAGCAGCAGCTGGGGATAACCTGTATATCCTGACTAAGGGAACAGGCAGTGGGCCCTCACTCCTGAGGCTCCTCACTTCCTTCCACGGTGGCCATAGTTCAGGAAAGAGAATAGGATTTTTTCAGTTCCCAACACAAACCGGAGCTTTGCCTCTCGGAGTGTGGGGGGCAGGTGTTCCATCCAGGGTGCAAGGGGCCTCTGCAAGGTACTGCCCTGCTAAAAGCAGGGAAAGGCAGGAGCCGCAGAACGCAGATTTTAAATGATGGCCCCGATCAAGTCCCTCCAAGTCAATGCCAAGCTAGATTCTCTTTCGTGAAATACTCTGTTACCAGCTTGACTAAAGCTCCACGGGAACAGGGGCCACGACTCACCCTCCAGACCTTCCCAGTGGCTGGTATATAATGGAACCCAGAGCAGACAAAGAGATAAACAACAAACCGACCCAATAAACAAACAGTGCAAATATTTCTAGAATCACATGAAAATTATCTCCTACTTTGATTCACTTTTTAAAAATCATAACTGATCGGTCGCTAGAAGGAAAAGACAGGCAGTTCCTCACCGGGATCTCCACCGCCCAGAGCTCACCCCCGAGTTTACAGATCATTTGCATGGCAATCTTGGTGGTGACACTCATCATCATCCCCTGCTTATTCAACGTCTGAGCAAGCACACACTGGCTGGGCACGGGGCAGTCGGAGCTCAAATATTTTTTAATGGAATCGTAATAGCTCGTCTGCATAGAAGGCAGAATACACATCACCTAAAAACAAAACAGACAGCAGCAACAAAAAAAAAAGAAAGTCAATTTATTTATGTTGAGAGGATGCTTTAAAAAACAATGAATTTTCAAAACATCTTTCCTCCTTACACTCCCAAGAAGCAAACAGCACGGACAATTCTTTTCTTAAATGGCCTTTAAAGAGAAGACAATGTATCTAAGCCTTTTGAAATGCCTTCTCATCAGCCATCTGCTCTGCAAAGCCCCCTCGAATCCTACCACCTCCTTCGGCTCTTCCTTCCTCTCTGCTTCTCTCCTGATTTGATTCCATCAGTTTCCTCCAATTCCCTTCCAACCTAGCTTTTTCTCCAGCTCTCTCTCTTCTTTGCAGTGACCCTTCCCTGTGGCTCTCCTGCTCCCCACTCCCCAACTGCATCCACAGACAAGCAAAGTGGAGAATTAGCTTAAACTCTAGTCTTTTTCCCCATTAGGCACTGGACATCTGAAATTAAAGAAAAAAACAACACTTTTTTGTTTGTTTGTCTACTCAGACTTGAGTGTAGGGTATGACCGGAAGGAAAATAAAGAGAAAGAAGCTTCAGATGCCCTGGTAAACTGCAGTCTTCTCTGTTACTGCCTACACTTCCCATCAGGTATTTCCCTCACAGAAGGACCTCTCCTGGCCTAACTCCATCTCCTTCCTATCTTTTATTCTCTACTTTCAACCACCCTCTCCCAAATTATAGAAAAGATAGGCACTGTCATAATCAACAGAAAACAAATACAGTGACTTTTTTCACCTATAGAATTGTTCCAAACCATAACATCAAAAGTTAAAATTTACACTGAATCATATAAAGCAGAAGAAAGTATTTTTAAATTACCAGAAAAATTATCTTAGGGGCCTTCCTGCCTTGCATCCTGTGAATTTGGGGCTAGGCAAGGAGTGGCCCAATGGGAACCAGGACCTAAGAAGGTGGGAGCCAAGTGAGGCTGGTTACACACGCGGGATACAGAAATAAGCAAGAATGTGGAGAATGATAAGGGCCATGCTTCTCACTCTCAGAGATAAGGGCTACAGATACGGAAACGGAGAACCGTCTCCTGTGGCACTGGGTGGCAACTGGGGACCTGAACACGTTTCATATTTAAAATTTTGATAAAATATTTTAATACATACATAGACACATACAGCAATAATATAGATGCAAGTGTGCATGTATATATATGCATACCCACGCGGCGGTGGTAGTTTAGTCTCTAAGTCATGTCTAACTCTTGTAACCCACAGACTAGCCCACCTGGATCCTTTGTCTATTGGATTTCCCAGGCAAGAATACTGGAGTGGATTGTCATTTCCTTCTCCAGGGGATCTTCTCCACTCAGGGACTGAACCCACGTTTCCTGCACTGCAGGCAAACTTTTCACCTCTGAGCCACCAGGGAAGCCCATGCACACACACACATATACATATTTCCTAGCTTTGCCCGTTGGGAAGGCCTAGGGGCCGTGACATCCCAGCAGCAAGTAAGCACACCCAGTGCCCAGATCTTGGTTTGTGATACTGATCTCTTCCAGAAGGAATCAGGGCTCGTTGGAGAAATATACAGCTCTAGAGCTGGGCAGAAAAACTTAACTTAACCTGGAATATCTTATTGTGTCAGACAGTAAGGAAGTGTTCCAAGAAAGATAAGAACACGTCAAAAAGACACAGAAGCCATCTTGAATGGAGTTCCTCCTGGCAAAACCAAGGACAATTGGGACATGGGGCCTCAAAGACTCAGACACGACGGAGCTTCTGAGCACACGCACAGATGTTGTAGCAATGGATTCAGACAAGAATTATCCACGGACTCTAACACTAGTGGGTGAAGTTTGATGAGAAACAGGGTATTTACATAGTCTCAAATTATCTCCTACTAAAAAACCCTAATTACCAAAAAGTATAACTTTATAAAGAAGAAGCTTGACAGAAACCACCTTAGTAATGGAGTAACCCCTGGTAAGAAGACAGAATCATTCCTGTGATATTGCTATCCAAAGTGCATAACCTGAATTTAATGATAAAGAAACTAAATTAGACAAACCCAAGTTGAGAGACACTGTATAAAATAACTGGTCTATTATACCCTTAAAAACTGGAAGGTCATCCAAGTCAACGGAAACTATGGAACTGTTACAGACTGAAGGACAGATTAAAGAGACAAGGCAACTAAATGCAATACAGCAGATTTTTTCACAAGAGGAAACATTCTGGGGACAAATGGAGAACTGTGGATGGAGTTGGTAGATTAGCTGGTGGTACTGCTCCTTGGTTTTGACGGTTGTTCTGTGGTTCCGTAGGACAGTGACCCTGTTTGTAGGAAATGTGCGTAACTGTATGAAAACGGTAATGGGCATCATGCCTGTAACTTACTCTCAAATGTTCAGGAAAAAAATAATAAGATAGGTAGGGAGGAAGGGAAAGAGGGAGGGAGACTGGGAGGAGAGGAAATGACAGAAAATGATACTAAACATCATCAAACAATCGGGGAATCTGAGCGAATGGTATATTAGAGTTCTTTGTACTATTCTTGCAACTTTTCTGTAAGTTCAATTTTACATTTTAAAGTGAAAAATAAATGCTCTTAGAGTGAGAATTTCCTTGGTTTATTATAACATCCTTATGGGCAAATTTTTGTGGCAAGAAAGAGGTACCTAACTAAACTGCTCTGTGTGAGATATGAATAGCAAGGTTGGGAGCTGGGATGAACGAACCAGGGGAGTAAGATAGAAGCTGGGGCAGAGAAGCACTGCAGTACAGTGAGAGGCTGAGCGAACATTTCCGAGACACAGGAAGGGCTGAGAAATCCTTTACCAAAATGTAAGTCAATTTTCACTTGTCTGGAATGGTGGTATGTGATGTGATCGTGCCTTGGCCTCAAACCCTCAGCAAAGTCAGCTACATAAAACACACACATACACACACACTCACCACAGACACACTCACTACACACATACACCACACCACACACACACATACACTCACCACACACTACACAGATACACACACCACACACACATGCACACACTATACACACACATGCACACACACTCACACACTCACACCACACACACACCACACACACATGCACACACTACACACACACACACACATACACTCACCACACACACACACTCACCACACACTACACAGATACACCACACCACACACAGATACACTCACCACACACACACTCACTACACACACACACACCACACACACACATACACACACTCACCACACACACAGACACACTCACCACACACACACACACACTCACCATACACACCATAGATACACCACGCCACACACACATGCACACACTCACCACACACAACATGCACTCACACACACACGATGCTTTGGGAAATGAAGCAATTGTGAGTGTCCCTCAGGGTGTTATAAAGCAGAAGGAAAAAGCACCCATGAAGGGGGACAAGAATTCAGAGGAAGAGGAACATGGAACCACAGGTGACATGGAAAACTTACACCTTCCAAGAACCCCCTGAAACACTGAGAAGAAAACTGGGTGCCCCAACATTTATGGGATAAGATAGGAGTCAATCTATCTTAAATCTTAAGTAAAAGATGACTCCCACCAACAAGTTGAAAAATATGCAGATATCCAATAAGCTGATAAAGGGGATGCTCAGCCATGTCCAAATCTTTTCAGTTCCCATGGACTGAGGCCCACCAGGCTCCTCTGTCCATGGGATTCTCCAGGCAACAACACTGGAGTGGGTTGCCCTTTTCTCCAGGGGATCTTCCCAACCCTGGGATTAAACCCACATCTCTTGTGTCTCCTGCATTCATAGGCAGATTCTTTACCACTAGCACCACCTGGGTTAAAAATTAATATTAGAAATATGAAAGGAAAATAAAATATCTGATTAAAATACCAAGATCAATACTTTATTGGGTGTTTGGGGAAATGCGCAGCTATTTGAAAACATGTGGAAGAATATGTTCAAATTCCTTCTTTCAAGGCTGATGTGAAGAAAAATAAAAATTATATCTTAAAACACAAAAAATATCCTATACTTACCAACTGAACCTCATGTTTAACATGCTTCTGTATAGCGTGAATAAATGCAGCTGTATTTTCTTGTACTTTTATGCTACATAAAAAGATGAATTTTGAAAATGTGTAAATTTTAGTAGCACATAATCATATAGTGTTAAAAATAATAGCAGTCGATTTTTATAACAGACTATAATTTGACGGGAAAAATCATTAAACTGAAATCTTTTGAGTCTAAAATTGCTTCTCCCAAACAAGATATGCCAGAAACATTTAATTACTATTTTTATTAACATAAAAAACAGATTAGTGAAAACTAAAATTTTCTCCATTGTATAGAGTCCCCACAGACTATCTAAACAAGTCTGTTGTTCAAAATGAAATTGAAACTGTACTTTTGAAAGCACAAGTCACAATATCAAACGTTTGAAACAGAGTTCAAGTTAAATTGGGACTAAAAATTCTGTAATTCTGAATCTCCATGGGAACTCTAAAATAAAAATCATTAGATTAATGAGATCAAGATATCCAGCTAATTAGTATAATTCAAACAAAAAGATTTTTTTTCCTTAATGGCACCTTCCATGGAGCCTGGAATATCTAGCCTTAATTAATCAATCAATCAGTGGACAAGTACTTATCAATTATCTGTTCCGTGGCTACAGTATATTAGGGGCCAGAGGTTACAGAAAGTAATTCCACTCAGCAGAATTTATAGATCTGTTTTCTTGACATGGGAACCTCTCGGTCCCAATGCCCAGGGGGCCTTTTAAAGCTTGCCGCCAGGTGGCAGGACCACTATCTGCCTCTCGTTGGTTACAACAGGAGTGACCAGCAATGCTGTTTCAGATGGGAGAAACCACGCATATAAATCTAATAAGTAAATAGATAAGTCACAGGAGAGAAAAAGGATGGAATAAAATATGAGCTTGCAAACAAAACAGGCCAAGAACAGAACAAGAGCACAGACTTGTTGGAATGTGGGTGAAAAAGAGCCTCTGATGCCAGTCCAGGTCTGAGACTGTAGCTTCTTTCATGTCCTGTCTTCTTACTTCATGGGTTAAGAGAAATTAGAGCAGGTGAAACTTAAACCAGGAGACTTGTTAACAGATTTGATAAGAAGATAATTCTAGACGACTGTAAAATGAGACTTCGGGAACAGCTATGGTTTACAACAATTCTTGCGCTGATGATGTAATTCACTAGTAACCATGTATTTAAAGAATAACTCCCCACCCTGGAGATTAGGACATTTGCACCTCCACTACAACAAAGAAAAAGAAGCATCTGTTGCTCTTTTTTTAAGCAATGGAGTAAGACATGACCAACTTTGTGGCTTTTCTAAATTAAAACAATATTCAGCTTTGAGTGTGATTGTATATGAATGGATCTCTTACTAAATTGAAATCGTCATATTCATCTTATCCCATGCAAATAGCAAATCATTTACTATGTAGTAGCAGATACTCAATAAATGTTCAAAGGCTAAATGAAAGACCTGGTTCTATCAGAAAACTATTTAGATGACTAATTTTATGTCACAGGAACAGAAAAATAAAAACTTGTTTCAGATCTATTTTTACAATAAATTTTAAATCATAAAATCTATCAAATAAGTCAGGAAATGCAACTTTCGTTAATATCCTGACTGCTGTTAAGTTTTACAAACAAGTGATATGGAGGAATTCAGAAAAAAGTTGAGGAGGCAATATATGGACTTATTAAGAATTCATACCTCAATAGTACTGGAAAGACACTGAGGTAATCAGACTAATGCCTAGGAAGAATTATGAAAATAAAGTTTTACAAAGACCAACATAAGATACATCTTAACTGGATAAAATTTTAATCATTGCCAACTCTATCTACTTATAACTATTTTCTTGGCACTCTATAGCAGGAAATTTTATTGACATAAAGAAACATTTGTAGCTCTTTCAGCCATTACCTCCTGTTACCTTTTCTAACCAAACCATATTAACATATAAAAAAAATGAGGAGGACTTTCAGCATCTTCTCACATTTTGGGGCGATCCACATTAAATCCCATGGGACTTCCAACTCTTCTTAAGCAGTTCAGAAAGTTCTCTGTCACACTTTCAGCTCTGTTACTACATATAACCAACCATTTATTCAAAGACTGTGCACTTAAAACCTTGCAAGTTCGTATATCCTTGGACCAGTCAGCCGCAGAGGCAGGTTGACACTGAGAAAAATAACAGAGAATAATTAAATAAAAAAGACAATGTGGAAATATTTCATATTTGTCATAATAAAATGAGTTTCAGTACAGTTTGCTACTCACAGACTTAAAACACAGATAGAAGTGCTTCACATCTGAACACAACACATACTGCCTGGGAGTGGAGGCAAGTGAATGACATCCCAGGTCCACCCTTCCTTGCCTGTAGATCCCTGGCAAGTCCTTTACCTCATGGGGCTCTGCCATGGGCAAAGGCAAGTGTCTGGTTCAAATCTCTAGGTTCCCAGGAATTCCCTAGTGGTCCAGTGGTTAGGACTCCAAGCTTTCACTGCCGAGGACACAGGTTCAGTCCCTGGTGGGGGAACTAAGCTGTACAATGTGACCAAGAGAAAAAAAAGAAAAACCCCAAAAAACAAACCCCACAAATCTCTAGGTTCCCCTCCAGCTCTGAAAACCTAAGATCTTTACTACAAAGGCTCACGTGAGTGACTGTCCAGTTTGGTCTCTGCTTTAGGCATCTAGAAACCGTAAGTGGGAAATGCTGATGACTGATTTTCCAGATCACCACACTGAGATGAACAAACACTACAGTTAAGACTCCACATTATACTAGGAGTAGCTACATCCAGAAGCAAAGATGAAGCCAAGACACAGGCTCCTTTCTTGTTATTGGACAGTTCCCCAGGAGACCAGGAAAAACAAGCTCCCGACATTGAAGAGGGCAGACTTCAGACTAGCCCCCAGCCTTCTGAAATCAAATCAAAAGTCCCTGGTGTGTGAGCCAGGAAGAACCACTGGTAGAATTTAAAGGACACTATAAGCTAATTCCTTGCTACTCAGAGTGTTGTCTTGCAGCAGCGCTGTCTCCTGAGAGCTCGTTAGAAATGCAGTCCTGGGCCCCATCCCAGACCCACTGAGCCAGACTGCGCCTTAACGAGTTCCCCAGTGATTCACTCACACAGTACTGTTTAAGAAGCATTCCTATCCCCCTGTTTCACAGACTGAAAAGCGACGGCTGAAAGCGGTTATGGAGCCAGCTGGTGGCCCTGGACTTGACTCTGCACTCAGGGCATTTCCCACAAGCACTCCAGGCCCCAGCCATGCTCCCGGGGCCGTGCCACAGGAGGCCAGGCAGGGGCTCAGCCTCGGGGCAACCTTCACCTAAGAACCCAGGGGAAGGGTTCGGCCTCCAGAAGGGTTCTGTCTGGAGCCAGGATTCATCCTTTCCCGTTACAGCCAGTGTGAGGAGGACCGCAGCCCTCTCACCCACACTCCCAGCTTTACTGGCTGGCAGGTGACCCAGGACACACACCCAAGGCCACTCTGAGGCCTGTGAACCTTTCGTGTTCTCAGCTTCTCGAAGTGAAAGTCACTCAGTCGTGTCCGACTCTTTGCGACCATCATAGTCAACAAAAGAGTCCAAAATGCAGTACTTGTGTGCAGTCTCAAAAACGACAGAATGATCTCTGTTCATTTCCAAAGAAAGCAATTCAGTATCACAGTAATCCAAGCTTATGCCCCAATCAGTAATGATGAAGAATGGTAAGTTGAATGGTTCTATGAAGACCTACAAGACCTTCTGGAACTAACACCAAAAAAAAAATGTCCTCTTCATTATAGGGGACTGGAATGCAAAAGTAGGGAGTCAAGAGCTACCTGGAGTAACAAGCAAATTTGGCCCTGAGAATACAAAATGAAGCAGGGCAAAGGTTAACAGAGTTTTGCCAAGAGATCGCACTGGTCATAACAAACACCCTTTTCCAACAACACAAGAGAAGACTCTACACATGGACATCACCAGATGGTCAACACCGAAATCAGACTGATTACATTTTTTACAGCCAAAGATGCAGAAACTCTATATAGTCAGCAAAAACAAGACTGGGAGCTGACTGTGGCTCAGATCATCAACTCTTTATTGCAAAATTCAGACTTAAATTGAAGAAAGTAGGGAAAACCACCAGACCATTCAGGTACGACCTAAATCAAATCCCTTACGATTATACAGTAGAAGTGAGAAATAGATTCAAGGCATCAGATCTGATAGACAGAGTGCCTGAAGAACTATGGACAGAGGTTCATGACATTGTACAAGAGGCAGTGATCAAGACAATCCCCCAAAAAAGAAATGCAAAAAGGCAAAATGGGCTTAGAAATAGCTGAACAAAGAAGAGAAGCTAAAGGCAAAGCAGAAAAGGAAAGATATACCCATTTGAATGCAGAGTTCCAAAGAACAGCAAGGAGAGATAAGAAAGCCTTCCTCAGTGATCAGTGTGAAGAAATAGAGGAAAACAACAGAATGAGAAAGACTAGAGATCTCTTCAAGAAAATGAAAGATAGCAAGGGAACATTACATGCAAAGATGGGCACAATAAAGGATAGAAATGGTATGGACCTAACAGAAGCAGAAGATATTAAGAAGAGGGGCAAGAATACACAGAAGAACTATACAAAACAGATCTTCAGATCCAGATAACCACAATGCTGTGATCACTCACCTAGAGCCAGACATCTTGAAATGTGAAGTCAAGCGGGCGTTAGGAAGCATCATCACAAACAAAGCTAGTGGAGGTGATGGAATCCCAGTTGAGCTATTTCAAGTCCTAAAAGATGATGCTGTGAAAGTGCTGCACTCAATATGCCAGCAAATTTGGAAAACTCAGCAGTGGCCACAGGACTGGAAAAGGTTAGTTTTCATTTCTACAGACTGGTTCCAAATTGGGAAAGGAGAACATCAAGGCTGTATATTGTCACCCTGCTTATTTAACTTATATGCAGAGTACATCATGCAAAATGCCGGGATGGAAGAAGCACAAGCTGGAATCAAGGTTGCTGGGAGAAATATCAATAACTTCAGATAGGCAGATGACACCACCCTTATAGCAGAAAGCGAAGTAGAACTGAAGAGCCTCTTGATGAAAGTGAAAGAGGAGAGTGAAAAAGTTGGCTTAAAACTCAACATTCAGAAAATTAAGATAATGGCATCTGGGCCCCTCACTTCATGGAGAATAGATGGGGAAAAAATGGAAACAGTGACAGACTTTATTTTGGGGGGCTCCAAAATCACTGCAGACGGTGACTGCAGCCATGAAATTAAAAGACTCTTGCTCCTTGGAAGAAAAGCTATGACCAACCTAAACAGCATATTAAAAAGCAGAGACATTACTTTGCCAACAAAGGTCCATCTAGTCAAAGCTATGGTTTTTCCAGTAGTCATGTATGGATGTGATAGTTGGACTATAAAGAAAGCTGAATGCCAAAGAATGTATGCTTTTGAACTGTGGTGTTGGAGAAGACTCTTGAGAGTCCTTCGGACTACAAGGAGATCCAACCAGTCCATCCTAAAGGAAATCACTCTTGAATATTCCTTGGAAGGACTGATGCTGAAGGTAAAACTCCAGTACTCTGGCCACCTGATGTGAAGAACTGACTCAGTGTAAAAGACCCTGATGCTGGGAAAGATGGAAGGCGGGAGGAGGAGGAAATAAAAGGATGAGATGGCTGGATGGCATCACCGACTCTATGGACATGACTTTGAACAAGCTTCAGGAGTTGGTGATAGACCAGGAAGACTGGTGTGCTATAGTCCATGGGGTCACAAAGAGTCAGACAAGACTGAGTGACTGAACTGAACTGAACTATACTGTCCATGGAATTCTCCAGGCCAGAATACTGGAGTGGGTAGCCATTCCCTTCTCCAGGGGATCTTCCCAACCCAGGGATCAAACTCAGGTCTCCCGCATTGTGGGCAGATTCTTTACCAGCTGAGCCACAAGAGAAGCCCAAGAATATTGGAGTGGGTAGTCTATCCCTTCTCCAGGGGATCTCCACGACCCCGGAAATGAACTGGAGTCTCCTGCATTGCAGGTGGATTCTTTACCAACTGAGCTATCAGGGAAACCCCAGTTTCTCAAACCCAGTTTCAAAAAAGCAGGATCAGCTGAGAAGTCGCTAACACAGCCACTTCTAACCTACCCAATAGCCCCTCTAGGGGGCGGGTTCTCCACTTTAGTGCCACTTCTCCTATGGGGGGTGATTCCAAGGTGGTGCTAGTCATAAAGAATCCACCTGGCAATGCAAGAGATGGAAGAGATGCAGGTTTGATCCCTGGAGTAGGAGGATCCTCTGGAGTAGGAAATGGCAACCCACTCCAGTGTTGTTGCCTGAGAAATCCCATGAACAGAGGAGACAGGGAGGCTACAGTCCATGGGGTTGCAAAGAGCTGGACACGACTGAGCACTCAGTACTGCTATGGAGATCTGATTCTGGGCAAAAAAATGCAAACAAAACTCTAACAAGTGTGACTTTACCTAGAGATGATGAAACAGACCATTTAAAATATGTCACATCTCACTTCCTGTGTGGAACTAAAACTGAGCCTCTTTTTACTGACTCCTGACCAAGATCTTAACGGGGGTGTACATTTTAGGACTTGACAACGTTTTGTGTTTAAAGTAGTTTTTCCTTAGCCTCTCCAACAAGGATTTTGGTTATTTGAATAGATTATCAAAAAGCAATAATGGAAAAAAAAGAATCCCCATCCTGCCAAAAAAAAAACATTCACTGCTCAATCATTAATTTCAACATGCTGACTTACCTGCATCAAATAAGGGGAAGAAGAGTACCTTTAAAAATGAAATGAAATGTAACTGGCTTAAAAAATGGGCGAAACAGAGGGGGGGAAAGGAGAGAATGTACAGTTTTTGCATAAAATTGGTTCATTTTTTTTCAGTGGAAACCCCCTGAAGCAATGATTTGTCTCTCCAGGTTTCTGAATGCCTCTCTGCCTAACTGCTATGGCTGGGGTGAGCTCTGGGAGAATTTTTTCATGTTTATGCCAACTGAGCAGCATTCTATTTTGGGGAAAAGAAAGAACTCTGGTATCAGGAAACAGAGTCTACAGGAATTAACCTCCACCAGTTAAAACAATGTTTTCAGGTACCACGAATTTTTTTAAGTGATGTAAGAGTACAACACCACCCAATAATAGGCTACATGTTTTGACTGCAGTGGCATGAAGCACCATTTTCTAAAGCATCTTTTGATTATTTATTTTTGGCTGCACTGGGTCTTTGCTGCTGTGTGAGGATTTTCTCTCGTGGTGGCAAGCGGGGTCTACTCTTGGTTGCAGTGTGGAGGTTTCTCATTGAGGCAGCTTCTCCTGTTGCAGAGAACTGGCTCCACAGCCCGTGGGCTTCTGCAATTGCAGTACGTGGGCTTAGCTGCCCCGTGGCCTGTGGAATGTCCCTGGCCCAGCGATCGAACCTGTGTCCCCTGCCCTGGCAGGTGGATTCTTAACCACTGGACCACCAGGGAAGTTTTCTAATGCATCTGTACATGTGACACCACATCACACTAACCTAATTCTGCTGGGTGCCACTAAATCCTTGTACACCCGGATTAGAAAGGAAAATACAGGGCCCTTGGGGTTTAGGCGGGGAAATAAGTTGTGCTAAGTCAGTTCAGTCGTGTCCAATGCTTTGCGACCCTATGGACTGTAGCCTGCCAGGCTCTTCTGTCCATGGAATTCTCCAGGCAAGAATACTGGAGTGGGTTGCCATGACCTCCTCCAGGGGATCTTCCTGACCCAGGGATGGAACGCGCATCTCTTAACGTCTCCTGCATTGGCAGGCAGGTTCTTTACTACTAGTACCACCTAGGAAGAGGCCATGGAGAAACCAAATGAACATTGTATTATAAGCCCACTCTGACTTACGATCAAACTGACATACATTCAAGAAAATACTTTTAAATGAAAATAAAATCACAGAACTTACTATGTGGTCTTGCATTATTATTTTTTCTGCAGGTTCAACGCGGCCAGTCAGAGACAACTGGCATCCAAAATGCAGTCCCCAGGTCTCCAGTTCAAAACGAGCATCCTTGTTTCTGTTGATAGAGTTGAGTCTTAAATCATTAAAAATGCTTACTATCTAAAAATGCTAATCACTAGAGATAAAATTATAATGTTAATTATTCAGAGACTGACTTTTTTAGGGTTCCTCAATTCTATTTCTACTCACCATTTTTTCTCTGCTCAAAGGAATTACAGGAGGACTGAGGACCCATGGGGGACTCAAAGGGATGGAAAGGCTCCCAGCGTGGCCTTCTAGTAAACAAAATGGGCCATTGAGCCAAACAGTGTGTGTATGAGTACTCAGTCACTTCAGTCATGTCCAACTCTGTTACCCTACTGACTACAGCCTGCCAGGATCCTCTGTCCACAGCATTCTCCAGGCAAGAATACTGGGTTGCCATGCCATCCTCCAGGGGATCTTCCAGACCCAGGGATTGAACCTGAGTCTCCTCCATCTCCTGCATTGCAGGTGGGTTCTTTACTACTGAGTCACTGAAGAAGCCCCTGAGCCAAACAGTTCAGGCTTCAAATCCAAATTCTAACACTGAGTAACATGGACCTTGAGCAAACTCTGAAATCTTTTAAAGTCATGGTTTCCTTATTGACAAAATGTAGGACTAACCTAGCTGTTTCATAGGGGTGACGTAAAGGTTAAATATGACAATACACAGAGAGTGCCACCACCCTGCCTGGCACATGCTAGGTGCTCAGTATAGGTGAGATATTATTCCTGATAACAAACATCAATAAAGAGATTTTGTAGACCATCTGGATGTGGAGATGTCCCCATACCTCTGGAAGTCATCTGCAAGCCTGGCCAGGTGCTGCTGCCTTACCAAAGGAGTGAGACGAGTTTCTTCAGTCACAGCCTTCATCAGCTGGAAATCAGACGTCGCCTGGCCAGGCATCCCTATACATTGCGAATGAAAACAAAGTGAAAAATGAACAGTCCTCAATGCAATCCAGCCCATCTCAGGCACAGAGCAATAAAACTCTGAACTTAAACTGAACCAGATTCACCATCTGACAGCAATGCAAGCCACATTTTCATTTAAAATTTTTTCTAGTAGTCACATTTAAAAAGAGCCAGAAGGAAACAGATGCAATTATTCAAACAGTATATATTATTTAACTCAATATGTCCAAAATATTATCATTTCAACATATAACCAATATAAAAAATGAGTTCATGAGATAGTTTCTCTTTTTTTCACACTACATCTTAGACGTCTAGTCTGTATTTTTACACTTACAGCTCCATCCAATCCCTCAGTTGCACTAGTCATGCATCAGTGCTCAGTGCATCATGCACTGATGCATTATGCATCAGTGCTCAGTGACCACATGTGGCTAGAGGCCACCAAGAGGACTATGCAGATGTGAAATGCCAGAGTATCACTAAGAACGTTCATCCCTCTCTGCAAGGATGGTATCCTTATTAACTTCTTTAATTGCAGAATAAACACAAGCACGTCAAACTCATTTGAGCATCGTAAGCGTAAAATGTACAAAGTCCTCCCGTCTTAGTCTCACCCTAGTAACCAGATGAACATGATTAAAAGAATCTTAGCTAGTCTTTTTTTTTTTTGGTTCTAGTGTAGAGTGAGATTACCTTCTGGAGCTCATGCAAAAAGAAAATAAAGAGTATTCTGGCACCTCTCAAAGAATACACCGGAAGAAAATTAAATCACACGACTTCTTAGCCTGCATGCGTGCTAAGTCGCTTTAGTCGTGTTCAACTCTTTGCGACCCCAGGGACCAAAGCTCTCCAGGGTCCTCTGTCCATGGGACTCTCCAAACATGAATACTGGAGTGGGCCGCTTGTCCTCCTCCAGGGGATCTTCCTGATCCAGGGACTGCACCCAGATGTCTTACATCTCCCGCACTGGCAGGCAAGTTCTTTACCACTAGCAACACCTAGCCCAGTGAAGTTCAAAAAATGGGGGAAATAGTCTGGTTTTAGGAAAACATCTGGCAACCAATTTAACGTCAAAGTAACAAATGGAATACATGAGATAAAGGAAATAGATAAACTTCACGGTACTGACCAATTTCCAAAGGGCACTCTACCCGCCCACTTTCTCTGTTAAATTAGAGCTCTGGCACTCATCTAGCTTAAGGAGGTTTTGCCCACTGCAACATGTCATGAGTCTCTGATCAAGAACTTGAGAGAATAAAATATAAACATTACCCGTTAGAAAGCAGAGCTCTGGAATCAGGTGGGCCATCAGAGCCTCAGAGTTGTCATTTTTCTTGTTTTTCAACAGACTAACAAGCACTGGCTGGTTCAGGTCAGATAAGGTAATATCATATTGCTATCGAATGCAAGATTAAGGAGGGAAAAGTTAATGTGGAAACACAATACAATGAGCATCCTTGCTTAAAAGCAACAAATGAATAGATAAGAAAATCTTTTCAATAGAAGGGGAAAAAAGTCCCCACTAATCCCCATGGTAATCTACTCATTTCTACTTTCTTCGTGGGACCTATCTCTTACATCTCAGGATCAGTTTCATGATTTTAATTATTACCTTTTATAATTCAATACCATTTTTTTCCCAATCATTTTCCTGCTCTCTTCTGAGTTTCATCCAGAGTCCTAAGCTGGATGAAATCCATAGTACCATGACCCCAGGTGCAGCACTGCCACGGGAGACGGAGGCCAACTGAACCATATACAACTTACTGGCTCTGGCACCTGTGCTCATTATGAAAATATCAAACACAAGTTGGAGGCAACGGTCATACTGAGTCAACCTCAGATTTCCCCAAAGAGCACAACTGTCCTTACTTTCCAAGACAGTATGATGTTACAGGGAAGTCGCTTTGAACTCTGACAAATGTAAATCTGGTCCACAGATATTCTATCTACTTGGATCGTGACACTGGGGAAGGGACTTACCTTTCCTCCTCTATGAAATGAGAACAAGAGCCCAGAGATGTCCCATGTAAACCACTAGCATGGTGTCTGGTTTATAATAAGTCCTCAGCAATCATTAGTTCCTTCCCCACTCCCTTTCCCTTCATAAACTTGAATTTCAACATTCTTACCTTGCTATGAGTTCATTTACCTTCCAAAGGCAAAGTTTCCATTAACACCAATATAGCTTACTCAACACTGATGACAGAACAATTGGAATTGTAATTTACAAAATGCCTGGGGACCACATGATGCTGACATCAAAAATTATAATGCAGGAAGCCAGCAGTGAGGGGTTCTCTATTCAATAAAGACTTTAAGTCATTAAAATAAAAAACAATTCAGGAAACAGCAGTTTAAAGTGGTGATTACAACAATGCTATGGCTGAAAAGCTTGGAGAAGCATTGGTAGAAAGAATTTTTATACATGACTTCATTAATTCACAGCTTGTGCTTGCTATATTCCGGGGACTGAAGGGAATACAAATAAAAAAGAGGCACAGTCCCTGCCTTTACACATTATCTACACATTATCTACAAAGCAAGGTAGACCAGAAGCACAAATAGTACATCTACGCTAAGCACTTCTTTTTTTCCTCATTTAGTCTTTTTTTAATGGATGACAACTGTGTTTTTTTAAATTAAACTATAATTGATTTACAAGGTCATGTTGTTGTACAGCAAAGTGATGGAGTTTTAGATAGATATTCTTTCCAGATTCTTTTCCCTTATAGGTTATTTAGTATAGTTTTTTTATACTAAATATAAAAATATTTAGTATAGTTCCCTGTGCTATACAGTAGGTCCTTGTTGGTTACCTACTACATATATATTAATAGTAGTAGTGTATATGTTAATCCCAAACTCCTGTTTTATCCCCTACTTCTCCTTTCATAGCCATAAGTTTGTTTTCTACGTTTGTGAGTCTGTTTCTCTTTGGTAAATAAGACCCTTTCCTCACTAACTCTTAGCGACAGAGTGTGACTGCTGTGTGCTCTGTCCTGTCTGACTCTGCAACCCTATGGACTTCAGCCTGCCAGGCTCCTCTGTCCATGGGATTATCCAGGCAAGAATACCGGGGTGGGCTGCCATGCCCTCTCCAGAGGATCTTCCTGACCCAGGGATCGAACCTGTGACTCCTGCATTGGCGGGCGGATTTTTTTACCACTTAGCCACCTGGGAAGCTCTTAACAACGCAACTGTGACTCAAATGCTATTATCATCTTCTTCATTGATGAGGAAACATTGTTAAGAAATTAAATAACTTCCCAAGGTCCTGTAATTGAAAATTAGCACCACCAGGATTTATCACTTAAGACTTGGGAGCCTCCGCTTGTTACACCACTCGGGGCTGGGTCCCTCACAAGGAATAGGGAGCAAGGTAGTGAAAACAATTTATGGCTGGTAAATCAAGGAAGGCTTCATGAAGGAGGCAGAATCCAAGACAGCACCTTGAAGAAAATGCAGGAGTATTAAAAATTCTGGGAACAGCTCAAGCAAAGCTGGGACACAGTCCAAGAAGAGGGTATTCTACTATTTACCTGGAGCATGGTTAAGAACTTACCCACTATGCTGTGTAATCAGGTGGACTTACTGTCTCCCATGCCCCAAGTTTCTTAGCATTTGGCAATAGCTTTTGTGATAAGATAAAACAGAGAAGTATAAAGGTCAATATCAAGATGTCTTCCAGTAAAATTACAGGCTATAAAATCAATACACAGACATCACTTGTATTCCTATACACTGGCAATGAAAAACCAGAAACAGACATTAAGGATACAATCCCAATTCACCACTACAACAACAACAACAACAAAAGTACCCATGAATAAACGGATCTAAGGAGACAAAAGACCTGTGTGCAGAAAACTATAAGACACTGATGAAAGAAACCAAAGACAGCACAAACAGATGGAGAGATACACCATGGTTTTGGACTGGAAGAATCAGTATTGTGCAAATGACCATACAACCCAAGGTAATCTATAGGTTCAATGCAATCCCTGTGAAACTACCAATGGCATTTTTCACAGAACTAGAACAAAGAATTTCACAGTTTGTATGGAAACACAAAAGACCCCAAGTAGCCAAAGCAATCTTGAGAAAGAAAAATGGAGCTGGAGGAATCAACCTTTCTGACTTCAGATTATATGCAAAGCTACAGTCATCAAGACAGTATGGTACAGGCACAGAAACAGAAATACAGACCAGTGAAACAAGGTAGAAAGCCCAGAGATAAACCTCTGCACCTATGAGTACCTTATCTTTGACAAAGGCAAGAATATATCATAGAGAAAAGACAGCCTCTTCAATAAGGGGCGCTGGGAAAGCTGGAAAGCTACATGTAAAAGAATGAAACTAACTTCCTAACACCGTATACAAAAATAAACTCAAAATGGGTTAAAGACTTAACTGTAAAGCCAGAAAACTCTTGGAGGAAAATATAGGCAGTACACTCTTTGACATACATCACAGCAAGATCCTCTTTGACCCACCTCCTAGAGTAATGGAAATAAAAACAAACAAATAGGACCTAATTAAACTTACAAACCTTTGCACAGCAAAGAAATCAATAAACAAGATTAAAAGACAACCCTCAGAATGGGAGAAATAACTGCAAATGATTCAACTGACAAAGGCATAATCTCCAAAATATACAAGCAGCTCACACAGCTCTACATCAAGAAAACAAACAGCCCGGTCCAAAATGAGCAGAAGACCTAAACAGACATTTCTCCAAAGAATACATACAGATGGCAAATAAACACATAAGATGATGCTCAGCATCACTCATTATAGAGAAATGCAAATCAAAACTATAATGAGGTATGACCTCACACCAGTCATAATGGTCATCAAAAAATCTACAAACAAATGCTGGCAAAAACCAACACAACAAAAAGTTAAAAAACAAAAAATAATAGAAAAAATTAAAACATTATGGCTGAAAGTGAAAAAAAGGAAGTCTTCCACTTTGAGAGTAGACTATATAATAATTTATCCTTCCTTTCCTGGGACAAAGAGGAAAGCATTCTAGAAACTGGTGCCATTTTCTTTCTTTTTCTCCCTAATTACAATAGATATGAAGGGAATCACAACTCATTACAAAGAAAGTGAGTGGGATTTTTATCATGATTCCCTTTTCAGAATGTCACAGGTCCTCAAACACATTAAAGAAAAATGAATTTAACCATGCAGGAAAAATCCCAAACGTTTAACAAACTCTGTGTTTAATAAACACTAATGGAGAACATTTTTTGCACAAAATGCTTTGCCAAATGCCCAAAGTCATATGTGTTCTGTAAGGACAACTGAATGAGGTGGAGAGGGAGAAGAAGAAGAATACAAAATGATTTCCTGAGACTCAAAATTCCCAAGGAGAGACAGGCATGGGAAGGACAATGAATTCAGTTTGAATTTTGTTCGTTTGAGATGCCTACAGGATATTCATGCAAATGCAGCCTGAAAATGGAGAGGAGGATGTAATTTAGGAAGGAGGGCAAGACAAAACTGTATTAGAAGTGATCTCAGAATATGAAGAAAAGATCCTCTGCAAAGGGGCCGTAGTGAGTTATAGCATTTCATGTTTGGGAGAAGTGAAGGGGGAGAATGTTGAATGAGGCTGAGAAAGAATCACCTGAAGCCCAGGAGAAACCACCAGGGATGTGCCCAGGGGCCAAAGAAGAGGAGTTCAGCCCACCAGGAGCGGTCACTAGCATCCAGAGCCACTAGCGTCCAAAAGCCCCTTAGAATAAGGACAGTAGCTGACTTTGACCTTGGAGAGCTAGTTCCATGGCAGCAGAACCGGATACCAGACAGCTGAGGCTTCCTGGAGGAAGAACGGAAGAGGTGCTTGGAGCTCGTTTAGACAACCTTCTAAAGAAACTAGCTAAGGAAGAAAAGGAGATCACTTTTCTTGAAGGTGTAGAAAGGTCAACACATTTGCCTTCTCTTTTTGTCTGTAAAACAGTGGTGAAATTTTGGAAACAGAAATATGACTGAATATGAAATAAAGAGAAGGCGCCTCTGAAAGGAACTGAAATTGGACAGTGGGGATGGGGAAATTGTCATCACTGTGAACCCAGCTCCCAGAGTCAGCAGGAGATTTCATCAGTAAATGTTTGAGCATCTACTAGACGCCCTGAGTGTCCAGAAATCAAGAGCTCAGAGTTGAAGAGGGAGAGTCAGACCATTCATATCCTGCCTGTGATAACTCCAAGAAGTTAAGCACAGACAGGGGACCCGGGGGAGAAAGTCCTAGGACTCCCTTGATCGCTAGGGAAATTTCCCTGGCAGTCCAGTGGTTAAGACTTCGCCTGCCAAAGCGGGGAGTGCAGGTTGGATCCCTGGTCAGAGAGGTAAGATCCCACATGCTTCAGAGCCAAAAACTCAAAACACAGAACAGAAGTGATAGTGTAACAAATTCAATAAAGACTTTAAAAATGGTCCACATCAAAATAAAAAAAAAATCTTATTAAAACAAGAATGGACTGCTGAGCTGAGGACCGAAGGGTGCTCAGTAAGTAAGTGGCCGACGGTGAATGGGTGTCAATGAGGAGAGCAGGGTGTGAAGAAACGCATGGGGAGCAGAAGACTTGAGGAACTATGAACCGTGAGCACAGCGGAACCTTCCAAGGAAACAGGATGGTATGCGACGAGGCTCAAGAGGCGGGGAGGAGTCAGACCACAGCCCTTCCCCGAGCTAAGCAGGAGGGAGATGAGGCTGAAAGGAGAAACAAGCGCTACCTGCTTGTAGTAATCCACGTAGGTGATCTCAGTGCCGTCCCGCTTCCGGAAGGTGTGCGTGGGCTTCACCGACCAGTCGATGTCATCAATGCGGTAGGTTTTGTTATTGTATCTGGTAAATGCAAGAAATCTTTTCAGTTCTTCTCTGAAATCCTACAAGGTAAGTGGTTAGTTCACTACACTTTACTTCACAGTATTATCCTCCAGAATTTCAGATATTATGAAAGACAATAACTCAAGAATAGTCACTTTAAAAACAAAGATAGCTTTTACCCGAGAAGAGCGTTGATGAACTCTTCCATTCATGGGAGGACGCCTGTATTCCAACAAAACCAAAGGAATAATTGCTGGCCCACCATCTGCTTTTCTCACTGAGAAACACTGTGCGTGTGTGTGTGCCTGTGTGTGTCCACACGCGTGTGCACGTGCACTCAGTCCTGACTCTTTGTGACCCCATGAACTGCAGCCTGCCAGGCTCCTCAGTCCATGGGATTTTCCAGGCAAGAATACTGGAGTGGGTTGCCATTTCCTTCTACAGGGGATCTTCTCAACCCAGGGACCAAACTGGCATCTCCTGTATCTCTTACGTTGGCAGGCAGGTTTTTCACTGGCTGAGCCACTGAAGCGTGCCTGGGAGACACTGAAGCTTCAGGTAAATCATGCTTAAATGGTCAAAGGCTGAAGTTTGGCTTCAAACTTCCTGTTGGCTTCTGTTTTCAGTCAGAATTTTTGAACTCCCAGCTAGTTTTTCTGATAAAAAAAAAAAGCATCCTAAGGAGGCTGATGAACCATGCCATTCTGGCAGCTTGCTTCCTCTTCCGTCTAAGGCTGGCCCTGGGCAAAACTGCAAAGCAGGTCAGCTAAGATCTTTTTAATATCTTTCTCCCCTTCATCAGGTAAGATGTGGCCTAGAACACCCTCTCATGCCAACCCAGCCATGGGACAGAAACCTCCTTGTTACTTTTCTCCTAGGCTCTTGCTACTTTGCAAATGACTTGGAAATAATGTGATAAGTTAATTCACGGAGCTCATGACAAGAGGATAAAGGGGCAGTGTGGAACTGAACCAGCGCCACGTCTCTGCTCCACAACCCAGAAAAACAACTTCAAGTGGAAATTCCAACCTAGACTAGGAGAAGGCGAGCGGGTCTTCTATAAATGGTGTCCACGGACTGGCAGCCGAGTAGAGTGGGCTTGTGTTCCTCAGGACATCACCTAACTGTCCACACTCCATTCAGTTCAGTATGCACTGAAGGCATATTACACACAGACACAGCCAGAGGACTCCAAGTCCTCAGCCATAAGGACCTCATAACTTCACAGTGAAGATGAGATGCGAAGCTGATGCTCTGTGTTATTGCTACTGAATCAAAGCTGGGTCGGCTTGCCCAGCACAGTAAAGCCAGACTCCTGACAGCAGGCTGTGGTGAAGGAAAGAGTGTCAGATACTGCTATGTGGGTACTTCAGAGAGAAGCTAAAGCAGACAGTACGGGGCAGGGGTCTGCCTGGGGAGGCCCCACAGAGTCCTGCTCAGTTACACCGTGATGTAATAAAAATAAATAAAAGGGCTCTAAAGAGGTGACGATAAGCACTAGGCTTCCGGAGCAGCATAGAGGACAGAAATGAATAGTTTCAACTGAGTGGACTTTGTGGGAGCAGAAATCTAAAAGGCAGAAATAGAGGCGGGGGACCCAGGCTGAGGGGCTGGAGCAGCAAAGTGCAGACCACGGCGGGTAGGGGAGGGTATGGGAGGAGGTAAGGAAGGAGCAGGAGAGACGGCGGGCGCCCAGCACACCCCTCCAGGAAGCCTCAGCTCTAGACAACTGACTCATCAGATCTGGGCTCCGGCCAGTGCCCGGAGCTCTCCCTCTTCCTACGTGGCATACATAACGCATTCTCTAGAGGAAAGTCTATTTAAAGGCAGGCCTTTACCTTGTCAGGACAATAAGCCCAATCAGCTGTTTCTCACACGTCTGGGTAAAGCAGGACACGCTTGTTTTGTGGCAGAGATCTGTCATGACCTCCAGAACTGTCTCATTCCGGAGCATTTTGTAACTCACATCAGCACTCAACAGGAGTTTGCTTTCAAAATGTGATACAGAAATGGCGAACCCAGGCCAAAGGGACAATCTTCAAAAAAATAAAAATTTTTTAATAAATAAATATTTTTAAAAATAAATGTTTTAAATGTTATATCAGGAGAACAATAAACATTTCAAAATGGTGACTTTATATTCTAATTCTCTCAATTTTATGAAACAATTTTTCTTTAAATTTGATTTCTTTCAGTGGCTGACTTAACACTTTAGCTATTTCCAGCTGGAGTGTCTTTAAACATATGAAGTGAAGTGAAACGAAAGTCGCTCAGTCATGTCTGACTCTTTGGAACCCCATGTGGAATTCTCCAGGCCAGAATACTGGAGTGGGTAGCTTATCCCTTCTCCAAGGGATCTTCCCAACCCAGGGGTCAAACCCAGGTCTCCCGCACTGCAGGCGGAATCTTTACCAGCTGAGACACAAGGGAAGCAAATAAGGGGAAATTTTAAACATATATTTAGGATAAAGTACATTTCTATAGAGCTTCGTTTCTTAACCTTGGCACTACTGACATTTGGACTGGATAATTCTTTGCTAAGGGCTGTTCTGGGCACTGCAGAGTCTGTGTGTGTGTGTGTGTGTGTGTGTGTGTGTGTGTGGTGTGGTGTGGTGTGGTGTGGTGTGCTCAGTCATGTCTGACTCTGTGACCCCATGGACTCTAGCCCACCAGGCTCCTCTGTCCATGGGATTCTCCAGGCAAGAATACTAGAGTGGGTTGCCATTTCCTCCCCGAGAGGATCTTCCTGACCTAGGATCCCTTGGTTTGATCCAAACCTGCATCTCGATCCAAACCTTCATCTCTTTCGTCTCCTACTTCACAGGCAGATTCTTTACCACTGAGCCACCGGGGAAGCCCGTGCATTGCAGAATGTGGAGCATACCCCTGGCCTCTACCCACCGGAGGCCAGCAGCAACTCCCATGCTGTGACAACCAAAAATACCTCCCGACATTTTCAAATGTCCCCTGGGGAGCAGACTCGCCCCTGGCTGAGAGCACAACTGTAAGACTAAAGTGTTTATGGAGGGATCTGTCCCAGCAGGCAAACATCTAGGTTCAGAAACACACAGTGACTCAGTGGTGAAGACAGTAACGAGACTTCACAATGAGACAGAAATAATCTAAGTGATGTCACATACAGACACCCAAGAGAAACTGTAGCAGTGGCTACATCTCCTTTCCACATTTATGAATATCACAGTCTGAAGTCTTGAACTAGAAAAAGTTACAGGAACTGGCAAGAAAGAACAACTTTTTTAAGAAATCATTTCAGTTGATATTCATGTGGACTTCATTGACTGTGAAACTAATGCAAGAGTACTGGAGTGAGTAACCATTCCTTTCTCCGGGGGATCTTCCCAACCCAGGGATCAAACCCCAGTCTCCTGCATTGCAGGCAGATTCTTTACCATCTGAACCACTGGGGAAGCCCCAAACACCAGCTCAGGACCAGCTTATGCACCAGCACTGAGAAAGGCTGGGATCTGGGGCCTTTTGCCGCAATACTGGCACCTGGACAAACATCTCCTCGAGCAACAAAACGCAGAGAAACTATAAAGGACTAAAAGTAACTGGATGCGGGCACAGTTGAGGCAAATTATGGACAAGATACAAAAAAAAAAAAAAAGCAAAAAAGCCAACTGCCACTTCTGAAGAGCTGGGAGCAAAAGCAGGGTACTGTGCATGCCTGCTACACTCAACACCACAGAAGGGATGGGCAAACCAACCAAGCCAACCCTCTGGCGCGACCTCTGGACATATCCCTACCTTCACCCCACATGAGCAACCAGCTGCCCCCCTCAGTGAGTAAGCGAGCAATGGAAACTATTACTTGTTCTTGCTCCTCCCTGTTGCAGCAGGGTCCCTGATAAAGCCCTGCCTGAATTTCGTGTCTGGTCTCTGATCAACTTCTATTGATTAAGGAGACGAAGAACCCTGGTTGGTAACAGCACCAACGCCAGCTTGTCACAACACTGGAGCCACGAGAATTTCTTATTCAGGTGGAGATATAAGTGACAGGGTGAATGATCAGGTGTTTTATACAGAACAGTCTGACCCACTGAACCAGCACACAGAAACCCTGCCCTTTCCTTCCACCCAGCAGAAACCAAACACCCTGCATCCACTTTCTATCTTTTATGTACTGATCTTCCTCGACTGACAACGGGTTTTTATGTTCACAAACCCTTCATAAGTTGAAACAGCCTCAGTCAAAAATGCATTTAATACACCCAACCTTTTCTTCAGTAACCTACTGAACATCATCAGGGCATCTCCAACCTGGTGTCCTCAGAACACTTACATTAGCCAAAAGACCCTGATGCTGGGAAAGATTGAGGGCAGGAGGAGAAAGGGACGACAGAGGATGAGAGGGTTGGATGGCATCACCGACACAATGGACATGGGCTTGGGTGAACTCCAGGAGTTGTGATGGACAGGGAGGCCTGGCGTGCTGCGATTCATGGGGTCGCAAAGAGTCGGACACGACTGAGTGACTGAACTGAACTGGACAAAATTATCTAACACAAGGCCTATTTTACAATCAGGTGCTGAATATCTTGTGTCATTTACTGAATACTGTACCGAAAGTGAAAAACAGAATGGCTGTATGGGTTCAGAAAGGTTGTGAGTGTGTATCAGTCATTTGCCCTCGTGGCTGCCTGGGCGCTGTGGCTGTGGCAGCTAACCATCATCACCAGATAGTATCATACTCCGTATCACTAGCCCAGGAAAAGGTCAAAATCCACAATTCCAAGTGTGGTTTCTGTTGACGGTGTATAGCTTTCACATCATCGTAAAGTCAAAATGTCATTAAGTCTAAACATCCTAAGTCGGGGAGCATCTGTATTTCTCCCTTTGGGTCACTGGTTGCCTCTGTTTTGGGCTCAACCACATGTTTTGGAAAGCTGAGTAACAACCAGTTCAAGATCACCTTCGCTGTAGTCTCTACTTCCTAGTTTAGGACAGAGATTCTGTAAGTGTTCCTAATGGTTCTATCATTCACTAGGGCAGCTTAGCTGGCTTGGGTATCTGACATCTTCTTACCCAGTGATTTTCTACCTACCACCCTGGCTGTGTTAGTGTTCTGTCAGCCGGAAAACAGAGCCCCAGTTATGCGGTATAACATAATAGAGTTTATCCTGCTCTCATTATCACTTGTCACACACAGGAAGCTCAGTTTCTGAATTCTAGGATTTATGATAATGATCTAGCACACTAATATAAGAAAACAGACTGCTACCTTTTGACATTCACCATTCTATTAAAAAACTTGAAAATTAAAAAAATCCATTACCTTTTTCACCACAGAGTCTCTCATAGGAGGCATAATGGTGTAATATTGCATCATAAATGATACTGCTCACATTATAACAATTTCAGAGTAACAGAAAATATAAATAAACCTACTTGTGCTGGGGAATTTCCACTGGCTCAGAAGGCTTATAGAAGTTCTGTCCAATTTGGTACATGGACAACTTTTTTAAGATCCTGAAAGTATACGTATTTTAAATCTGTGTTAAACATTTGTCTATAACAGTAAACTTCTAAGTTTGTACCCCTGCTGAAATAAAAACTACTAGAAAAGTCCAGAACTCTTATTGTTATAATGCTGAAAGTTTAGCTACAGCATATACATGTGAGTGTATATACAAGAACTATCACTCCATATTGGGAATGACATAATTGAAAATACTTCTATTCTTCTGGGTTTAACTATAAAAGGAAGTGGTCCCCGAGCAGACATGACTATGACTGCAACATTGTGGCTGGGGAGGCTATGGACATGAAAAGCCATGTCCACAGGGTTCTCTGGCCTCGTTCTTATTTTGAAATGAGGAGGCCATTTCCTTTCTTTTTTCTTTCTTTCTTTTTGCATAGTTAATTTACAATGTTGTATTGGTTTTAGTGTACAACAAAGTGATTCAGTTCTATATGTATATTCTTTTTTGGATACTTTCCTCTTATAGGTTATTACAAGATATTGAATATGGTTCCCTGTGCTATTCAGTAGGTCCTAGTTGCTTATTTTATATATGGTATTGTGTATATGTTAATCCCAAATTCCTAATTTACCTCTAACTCCCCATCCCCTTGGCTAACGATAAGGTTATTTTCTGTCGGTGAGCCTATTTCTGTTTTGTAAATAAGTTCATTGATATCATTTCTTAAAATTCCACATACAAGTGTTATCATATGATATTTGTCTTTCTCTGGCTTACTTCACTGAGTATGGTCATCTCTAGGTCCATCCATATTGCTGCAAATGGCATTTTTTCATTCTTTTTAAGACTGAATAGTATTCCATTGCATATATGTACCACATCTTCTTTATCCGTTCCTCTGTTGATGGACATTTAAGTTGCTTCCATGGCTTGGCTATTGTACCTAGTGCTGCTATGAACACTGAGGTGGATGTATCTTTTGGAATTAGAGTTCTTACTAGGTATATACCAGGAGTTAATCTTACAGTAGTTCTATTTTTAGTTTTTTTAAGGAAGCTTCATACTGTTCTCCATAGTATCTGCACCAATTTACATTCCAAGGAATTTGTTTCTAATGAGTCTATTCAGTGTCCTCACTGCTACCAAATGACAAGGCTGCCTCTTCAGCAACTAACTCTGGCTGCTTTTGGAACGTGACACATTACTGATCCGAAGCTGCCCTGTGCACTGGGGAAACGGAAGAGTTGCAAGTCTGAAAACAGAGGTTCCAACTGTGTGCTTTTTGGCTACCCAAGTCATCTGAGCCTCAGTCTCCTTATCTGTAAAATGGGGAGTTTAATCATACCTGCCTCACGGAAATTGAGTAAAGATCAAGGAAACTCTGGCACCAGAGAAAGAGCTCTGTCACTGCAAAGCACCTTCCAAATGTCAGCTGACTTAAAACAGTCAGGGGGGCGCAAAAATGGATTCTGAAGAGCGTTTTTTACAGCCCTGAGCTGAGGCCCAGATAAGATTGGAAGACACTTCCTAGTCTTCTGACTAGAATTAGGAATCAATGTGTCTGTGTGATGGAAATTCCTCTATGTGTCCTATTCAGCAAATCCAAACTCCTCTCATCCTGTCCAGAGCAAAGGGCTAAAATCTTAGGTTTTTAACACACCACCCTAGTGATCCACACCAACAGCATGGAAAACAGGAGTTCTCAAGCTTCTGAGCTCCCATCTGGGAAGCTTGCCAAAAATGTGGATTTTTCAGGCCCCACCCACAAAATTCTGTTCACTAGGTCCAGTGAGGGGCTAGGGAACCTACATTTTGTCAAGCTGCACCTAAGACCCAAGCTGACGCTGAAGCAAGTGATCCTCAGATCAGTCTGAAGAACACTGAAAGGTTCAGTGACAACCTTCCTCTCCCGGGGGGACAAGCGGGGGAAGGAAAGGGTCTGAAAGCACCGAATGCAGAGGGTGATGACCTTTCACACCTAAGACAAATCAACCAGGAGAAAAGTCACTCCCTTAGTTTACTGACCCTATTTTTAAGTCTGGGGATGGAGGCTGGGAGTGGGTTCAGGAAAAGGGTAAAGGCACCTGCCCTGGCCCCTGAGTCATTCTCAATGCAGGTGATACTGAATCTTGACCGAGGTGCCAGGTCAAGGCTGTGATGGGCTGTGGTGCGTATTGCTGCACAAGTACACGAAAGTACACAGAAAACTGCCCTAAAGATGACATTACTGCCAGCACACCACCTGCAAAATTGTCAGTACTTTTAATACCCAGGCTCTATGCGGAAAGGCATCACCGGCCTAAACTAAATTCATATTTAAGGCACTTTACTTTTTGAAGATGATATTGAAGACCTGGATGCACACAGGAGAACTTGCCGGCAGCTCTCTCGTCAGAGTGATAGTCATCTTTACAGTCTTGCCTCTTTGGGTTTCACTTGACAACTCCGTGACCTGGAAAAAGAAGTACTTAAAATGGACTCTATAGATTATCCTCCAGTGCACAGAATGTGGCTATGCTGAAGCTGTCAAAGCTTCACAGGCTCTAACAAAAACAAAGATGCAGCTGTTAGTGATGTGAGTGATCATCTGATCATCCGGTTACGTTTGGAAGGTTTTTTTCCCCTCTGTATTTTGCTAATCCCAGAAAAGCAACACATCTCTCCACTCTCAAATTTATTAATAGAGAATCAAAACCAGACTCAGCATTCAAAGATTCAATCCAAAGAGAATTCAGGAGCAGGGTTCTTGACCTTTTGGGGGAATGGGGAGGTATAAGAAAGCAGGTCAGAAGCTACTTTGAGAGTCTGATGAAAGTTACAGACATTCTCCCAAGAAAATGTCACGTATTTGAATACCCCAACAAGGTATATAATGTACCCATTTACAGGATTTCATGGATACCCAAAAGCCTATTAATAAAGTGTCCTGCCCATCTTGGGGATTTCCCCATGACTCAGCAGAAAGGAATCTGCCCGCAATGCAGGAGATGCAGGAGACATGGGTTCAATCTCTGGGTCAAGAAGATCCCCTGGAGTAGGTAATGGCAACCCACTCCAGTATTCTTACCTGGAGAACACCATGGAGAGAAGAGCCTGGAAGGCTCTGGTCCATGGGGTCACATAGAGTTGGACACAACTGAGGACGAATGCACACTGCACGTTGCCCACCTTGAGTTCATGGATTTCAGAAAGAAGCCTCTCAAAAGTTTACTTAAAAAAAAGAAACAATAGAGGAGCAGAAGAGAAGAAAAAAGGAAAGGATAGGGAACAGACCATAGGGAAAGTAAATGTGGAAAGAGAGAGAAGAAAATGGTGACAGTTTAGACAGGAAATCTAATTTCATTTTTAAAAGGCCTAGAGAAAGCCCTAGGGATCTTATAATCTGGAACCACATGCTAACAGTATAGTGAATGCATGAATAGGTCTTTATACCAGGTGCCTAACTAAATGTAAAGCTCCTTAGACCAAACAAGGCTCAGTACAGATTTTTTGGAATAAAAGAATGAATAGATCAGCCAGTAAGAAACAATGGTCAAGGACTTTTCAGAAGGGTGAGGAATTAGAAGAGGTCTGTTCATTCACAGGCATTTATGTATTTTCTGTAGTGAAAGTGTAGTTTTAACGGCTTTCAGCCTGAACCAAGAATGTAGGGCAGGGATTGAGACAAAGAGAAATGCATCCTTTCACAAGTGATGAAATATTTCACTGAAGTATTTCTTGCCTCAGGTATAACTGTACAAAAGTCTGGGACTTCCCTGGTGGTCCAGTGATTAAGAATCTGCTTGTATGTAGGACAAGATGATCTTTAATGACAGTAATACCCTTGAAATATGTCATTTAAATATGAGAGACTATACTAGCATGTTATCAACATCTGGTCATAGGACAAAATATTGAGGGACCAATAAGGACTTAGGATGAATAAAAATGTTTCTAAATTTACAGATCCAGATCTTACATATTCTTAAATCTAATCACATGATATAATTTTAAAATTCCATATTTAGATGAAATAAACACTCAAGTAGCTCCTATAAATCTTAGAATTTCATAAAAGGATAAGAAGGCTCCAAGAGTGTTCAGAAAAACACTTCTTAAAAAAAAAAAACAAACACTTCTTGAGGAGATTCACAAAGGTTCACAGGGAATCTAGAAATTTACATTTATGCTCTTGCTGTCATCCTGTTCAAGATGAGGAACTAAAATGATTACAATTTCCAAGGGACAGAAGCATCAAGTTTTAATTCAATACTCTGCTTTAGTTTTCCATACAGAAACTGGTTCTTTTTCTTTGTAATAATTTTAATATTGCCTTAGAACAAAGCATATGATAAAAACCTCAATATTGGTATTTTGATTTTAGGACTAGAAATGAGAAGGTGTAAAAAATGGATATGAATCATGCAATTTCCATATCCAAAGGTCATAAACATTCAAAAATATCTTTAAGATTGATACGTGCATCTGTCCTCAGTTGCTTCAGCCATGTCTAATCTATTGTGACTCTATGGACTATAGCCTGTCAGGCTCCTCTGCACACGGTGTTCTCTAGGCAAGAATACTGGAGTGGGTCACCATTCCCTTCTCCAGGGGATCTTCCCAACCCAAGGATGGAACCAACATCTCCAGGATTGTAGGCAGATTCTTTTCTGCTGAGCTACCAGGGAAGACTGATATCAGTTCAGTTCAGTCACTCAGTCTCATCTCACTCTTTGCGACCCCACTGACTGCAGCACGCCAGGCCTCCCTGTCCATCACCAACTCCTGGAGCGTGCTCAAATTCATGTCCATTGAGTTGGTGATGCCATCCAACCATCTCATTCTCTGCCATCCCCTTCTCCTCCTGCCTTCAATCTTTCCCAGCATCAGGGTCTTTTCCAATGAGTTAGTTCTTTGCATCGAGTAGCCAAAGTATTGCAGTTTCAGCTTCAGCATCAGCCCTTCCAATGAATATTCAGGACTGATATCCTTTAGGATTGAGTGGTTGGATCTCCTTACAGTTCAAGGGACTCTCCAGAGTCTTCTCCAACACCACAGTTCAAAAGCATTAATTCTTTGGTGCTCAGCTTTCTTTACAGTCCAACTCTCACATCCATACATGACTACTGGAAAAACCATAGCCTTGACTAGATGGACCTTGACTAGATTGGCAAGTAATGTCTCTGCTTTTTACTATGCTGTCTAAGTTGGTGATAGCTTTTCCTCCAAGGAGCAAGACTGATATAAGTAACTCCTATTTCATATGATGGAACAAGTCATGAAAAATGACAGTTTTAGAATCAGGATTGATGTAAAGTTCTTTGGACAGATGGACACAATGCACAGGAGCAAAAAAAAAAAAAAACGAGTAAATTTAAAGGTCTGAGGCCACAGGTTAAATGCTGTTTCTTAAAATTCTTGCCTATTTGGGGAAAAGTTTAAAAAGGATTCCTCTCTCAAGGACACTTTGCCTTGAAAAAAACTGTCAAAAAAGCAGTATTTGTATTACAGCTCTTCTTTCTGAAATGCCAGACCAGCAGCTTCCTAATTAGGAAATCAATTACTGATGAGGTTTTAATTAAGAAGTCTTTTGCTCTTGGGCATGGGAATAGGAAAGAGAAAAGGAGTGGGTAACACACTTATCCCAACTATCATGAAAATCAGCTAACCTCTAAAATCTATATGGGGGAGTATAAATATATGCATATGTGTGTGTTTAAAAATGAACCATACTTTACCTTGTCTTCTAACTTTTGTGAGAGAAAAAGAATGACACCATCAAATGCTTTTGCTTTGTTGGAGAGTTCCCTGTGACTATAAAGCAGAGCAATTCTCAGCCTTCTAGATTCTATATCCGGACTATATGTCACATGATACTGGTATAGCTGCCAGTCCTGGGGCAAGTCTAAATTAAAGAGATTTGTGACCAGTTTCACAGGTATTCCACTGGAACCTGAAGAAAACAAATAAAAACTATTTTTTAATGAAAAAAATACATCATGTTCATATTAATCACAGCATTCAAAAATTCATTTGCATATGCTAATTGTTGCTGGAAAGCAAGAACTTTTTTTCAGTGACACAAAGTTAGCTCGAGTAACCGGCAGCCTGATAACCTTACATGCATGCATGCATGCTAAGTCACTTCAGTCGTGTCTGACTCTTTGCGACCCCATGGACTGTAGCCCACCAGGCTCCTCTGTCCATGGGATTCTCCAGGCAAGAATACTGGAGTGGGTTGCCATGCCCCCCTCCAGGGGATCTTCCCACCTCAGGGATCGAACCGTGTCTTATGTCCCCTGCATCAGCAGGCAGATTCTTTACCACTAGCGCCACCTGGGAAGCAGAGTCCTACAAACAAAAGGATCACAATGGCAAAGCAGGCCTCATAAGAATCGAAGAGCAGGAACTGACCTTTGGGAGAAGGACCTTTGGGGAGAAGAGAAACATCTGAATTCAACTATCCTACATCGGGAGCTGCCAGGATGCGCCCAGTCTGTGACAAAGTCATGGGACGAGAGAGGAACCTGCAAGGCAGCTCTTCCTCACATGGGGCTGCCCCGGAGGCCCAATATGTCCCCTTGGGAGCCGCCGGGAGGAGAAAGCAATCTGCAAGGCAGCTCTTCGCCTTGAGGTTGTCCCAGGGACAAGGTCATGGGACGAGAAAGGAATCTGCAAGGCAGCTCTTCCCCTCGAGGTTGTCCCGGGAGCCCGGTATGTCCCTTTCTTCTTTCTGTCTTACTGTTGTTAGCTTTCTGTTAATTTTTGGAAATATAATATATAGTAATAAGGCCTCCCTGGAAAAGTCCAAGCCTTTTTGGAAATGCTCATGATTGCTCTGGCTCAGGACACGACCATAAACGTCAAGTCAGAAAAGAAAAGGCCAGAGGTACAGTTTGGCTGCTTGCTTAAAAGATTATAATGTTTTAGAATAGAAAAGACTAGAGGCATTTAGATTTAGAAGTAGATATACTGCTTCAGTTTACTTGCTCCTTGGTTGAGAGGGTTTTCATTATTGCTATTTCCTTGCTGCTATTTGTTCATTGTTTCCCTTTCTTTAAACAACATGGGATACTGTGGGAATTTTTGTAGAGTTAGGAAATGGGGTACATAGGATTTTAATAGAAGATTTATATTAACCAGCTTCACTGCCATTATCTCACTATTAATAGAGGTGTTTTGCTGCTTTAGAGGTGTTTTTGCTGTGTAATAGTTTTGCTGTGTAAATTGAGATTTTGTGGTTTCAGGTAAAGAAAAATATCAAGGTTTTTCCCATGGTACTATTCTTAGAAATGTCAAACATATTACTGTGACCCTTCCCATGTATTGTTTTATTGTCCAAAGAATTTACACTATACCTGAGATTTGTAGAACATTGTTTTGTTAGAATGAAAATGTTAGGCCATTGAGGCAAGAAGACTATGTATGGGACATTTAAGAAAAAACCCTGTAATCGGAAACATTCTAGAAGAATGCATAGGGGAAAAACATGGGAAAGAAAAATATTGACAGGAGCATGAAACCAATATCTGATGTAATATGTGGTGACTTAAGGGGGAGGTAACGTTCATTCAATAAAAACTGAGCTATCCTAAAAATTAAAAAAAAGCTACCTCTTCTATGCAACCTTCTGTGTGTGTCTGTCTTCTTCGCCGATGCCACTCATCCCCTGGGTATTCCTGGACCCGCTGGGGCTGGACCCCAACAATTCTAGAACTTCTTCCAAAGACTGCCTTCCAGCTGATTCTGTGCAACTCAAATCATTCAAGTGATAATTTTGTAACTGAGTAAGACCCCATGGAGCCTTCCTGAGACAGACCCCTCTCCCATATCGTCTACTTTCGCTCCTTTCTAAGTACCTAGATAATAGTACCTAGTGCACATTTCCTGGGTTGTTTCACAGATGCTAAAACCCCCACCCAATGGAAGAATTTAACTACTTGACAACCATAGCTGTCTTGATCAACCAAGCTACTTGATCACATAGCTTCTAGACCTACTGGCACCTAAGAATTAATAGGGTTTCCCAGGTGACTCAGTGGTATAGAATCCACCTGTCAATGCAGGGGACATGAGTCCAATCCCTGGGTCACAAAGATCCCCTGGAGAAGGAAATGTCAACTTGCTCTAGAATTCTTGCCCGGGAAAGCCCATGAACAGAGAAGTCTGGCTGGCTATAGTCCATGGGGTTGCAAAGAGTCAGACACGACTGAACATCTGAGCACACACACATCAGAAGTTTGGGCTTTTCGAGCACAAGCTGTCCTAGACTCCTTGTACAGGGCCTCATAATAAACACTGCACTCTCCCTAACCACAGCCTGGTGTGTCAGGAGACTGACCACTGTGCATAGGTGAGTGGACCCATTTGGTTTGATAAGTTTCAGATGCTGCTCTGAAATTATAGGGCTTCCCTGATAGCTCAGCTGGTAAAGAATTTGCTGCAATGCAGGACCTGGGTTGGGAAGATTCCCTGGAGAATGGAAAGGCTACCCACTCCAGTATTCTGGACTGGAGAGATCGATGGACTATATAGCCAATGCATCTTTATACAGTGCCTCACAATAATTTCCTTCACCACAATTTCCTTCACCACAACACGGTATGTCAGTAGATTGACTTTACTGTTGTGTGGGTGAGGGGACCTGTTTGGTTTGATAAGAGCTTCAGATGCTGCTACGAAATTATGGTGCTTTCAGACTATAATGAAACTCTCCAGTTTTTACCATGAATATAGCCGCCACCCCTAATCAAATTTCATCATAGTTCAGAAAATGTTGAAACACTACAGTCAGTGGTCAGATGACTCTGTAAGCCCCAGAGAAGGGGCAGAAGAAATTTCACATCTTCCCTGTGTGAGAACAGACAGGACTCTGGGCTTCTGTTTTTTGCAGGCACAGGAAGGCCATGTGAGCTTTCTGGAACTCCAGGCCCTACAGAATTTTTTATTCACCTCTTCAAAGTCTACAGGACAGGGACTTCCCTGGGTCAGTGGCAAAGATTCCAGGCTCCCAGTGCAGGGCACCTGGGTTCCATCCCCAGTCAGGGAACCAGATTCCACACACTGCAACCAAGAGTTTGCAGGCCACAACCAAAGATCCTAAATGCAGCAAGACATGCAGGACACCCTGAAGACATCTGGCACAGCTGAATAAATAAATACATATTTTTAAAATTGTTTAAAAAAACTCTACAGGACAAATTCAGAGATGGCTGTGACATAGTCGGTCAGTGCCCAGGATGCTGTAAACTCCATCAGGACAGACTCGGAGGACACAAAGGAAGTACTATCACCTCTCCTCTGAAGGAATTATCCAGTGTTTGCCTTACAGGACAGAATTAAACAGTCACTGTTTTGCATGTCTCATGGAGGAAGTGGAAACATGAGCCCTGAGGTCATGAGGATGAAAGCGTATCCTGTGTACCTTAGGAAATATTCCCCCAGTTTTGACATGTGTATTGACTGAAAAATAATGCACAACTTAAAAGATGAGAATTATGTTTTATTCAGAGGACAAAACTGAGGGCTTAAGCTTGGAACACAGCATCTCAGATAACTCTGAGAGTCTGCCTGCAAGGAGGCAAGGGAAGAGCAGGATAGACAGGAGTTTTTGCAACAAAGTCCAGGGAGTCAGAACCTCTAAAGATGACTGGAATTAAAGAAAGCCAGACATCCTGTATTAATGACTTTAGCGCTTTGCTATGTATGAAAGTGAAAGTGTTAGTCACTCAGTCACGTCCAGCTCTTTGAGACCCGGTGGACTATAAGCCATCCAGGCTCCTCTGTCCATGGAACTCTCCAGGTAAGAATACTGGAGAGGGTTGTTGCCATTCCCTTCTCCAGGGGATTTTCCTGACCTGGGGATCAAACCTGGGTTTCCTGCATTGCAGATGGGTTCTTTACTACATGAGAAGATGCAAAACTCAGGGTTCTCTGAAATCATTCCTTTGCCATGCACCTCAGCTACAGGGGCCAGTGTTGTATTCTTTGCCACCCCGAGTCTCCTTAGGGTACATTGTTGGAGAGTGGCTGCAGTAACTGAAAGGCGTGGCAGTGGGCAGCCCTCATCCTTAATGTACTGATATGATAAATTAACAACACCCTTAATTTACTGATATGGTAGGCGATACTTTTTTTCACTGACATGTGTACATACCCAGTAGGAACAAGGAATCATTGTGCTATTTTATTCAAAGGAAAGCTTTTTTGTCACTGCCCTCCCAAAAGCCATGCCAACATATTTTAGCTGCTCATATTAATGGACAAAGAGAAGTCATCTAGAATGTCCGAGCAGGCAGGCAACCCTTTGAGATCACTTAACCAAGTGTGTTCAAACTGTAATCCTGTCTTGTTAGTGCTTCAGTTATGAAAATAAGTGAGGCGAACCATCACATTTCATAGAAAGACTAGGATACAATAGAATGGATCCAAGAGCCGGCCACTGGAAGGGCAACACTGCCTCATGAAACTGTTTCAACTGTGTTTGTGTACTGTGTGTGATGGATAAGGATTTATCTTATTTTTGTTGCACGGTTTGAAAGAGTTTGAAAAAGACTGATCTGCAGGCTTTCTGCATCACTGAGTCTTAACTTTTAGAGGGAATTACAAAGTCTTCTGAGGCTCCTATGAAAACAGTAGGCCTACTTTTCCAAAAATACACATAAAATTTTAGGTTGCAATTTCAAGGGTAAGCCTAGCATCAGCATAAAGAATTCCCCAAACAGGCTACACTTTTCTTTTTAGAACTTAAGTCCAGAAAGGTTATTTGTCCCCATATAAGAAAAAGTTAAGAAAGGGACAAAGCATCTTCGTGGACCCCTACCTCAGAGGTAAGGAGAAAATGTTTTCAATGTATGAAGTGTAGTTTTACAGAAAATGTTACTCTTCCTATTAATAAGAGAGAATTAAGGCTAAAACGAGTGTCTAGATAATGTTTTTGTTTGGTTTGGGTTTTTTGCCTTTCTTTTTCTATATTTATTTTTAATTGATTGATGATTGCTTTCCAATATTGGTTTGATTTCTGTCATACATCAACATGAGTTAACCGTAGGTGTACATATGTCCCTTCCCTCCCACCCTTAGACAATGTTTTAAATATAGCAGATGTTCAATACATATCTTTGAAGTCAAAATATGAACTTATTTTAGATCTGGAAATTAAAATTCCTTAGGCAAGATTTGGTAATATTAAAAAAAAGAAAGGTAAGTAACATGAAGAGTGGGTACCTGTTTTGCAGTCTCTCACATGGGCCAGTTTCTCCCTGGTACAGACAGCCAAGTCCATGATGTCTCGTCTGAGTTTCCCACCTCTTTCCTCGATGGTACATCCAGAATCACCCAAAGATATACCACCTGCATCTAAAATATGAAGAAAACACTATAATATCTCATATTTCACGCTAGTGATATTGCTTACAACCTCTATACAAAAAAACACATCCAGAACCAAAACTAAATTTTTGTGGCTTTTAATAAAACTGACCCACATTACTGAAAACAATGGGGAATGTACAGAAGTCTGCAGCCTGAAACTTGAAAATCGTGAAGGAAGCATGGTATTTTCTTAAATATAACAGACTCTGAGCTAGTCCTACCTCATATAACATTTGGGGCTGCTCTGATTCTCCTCTTGACTAAGGAGGAGGCTCTCTCTCCCTACATTCTGCTCCACACCCACTGACGGAGAGCTGGTCTCCCTCCTGTAGCTCTGATGTAACACCTGAAGAATTACACATTAAGACTGTCCACATCAACTTCTGCATAGATTGAGGCTGAAAATCTCTCAACTTTCCCAACCACAGGAAGAGAAATGCCCAGAGGCTGTCATCAGTTTTTATGCTAGATCATTCCTCTGAGAATGAAACAGTCAGCACTTCACCTTGGGGCATGTCACTGTTTTAGGTTCTAGAAAACATGAAATTGAAATCTATTTCCAGATGAATATTTTCTTTTTTAAACGAGTATAAAGAGATGCTGATTTTGGATACAACTTTGACACTTTGAAGATAGTGTGAAAATATCAATTTTACATTACAAAATTATTACTACAAAGAAACATGACTAATAGTATACAAATCTCTTTCCTTTGATATAGTCATGATCTGCAACCACCCCAAATGGCACTACCCACTCACCCAAAACTGCTGTCCATACCCTTTTCGGTGGAGTCAGTCTTTCAGGAAAATCACAAAATTTATTTCATTTTTAAAAATTTGATTATTCTTGCTAATTATCCATATAGCTTACTGCTCAAATGATGTCTGGTGGTTTCTAAAAATTCAGTCTACCATAGATGCTGGGAAAGACTGAAGGCAGGAGGAGAACGGGATGACAGAGGATGAGATGGTTGGATGGCATCACCAACTCAATGGACATGAGTCTGAGCAAGCTCCGGTAGTTGGTGATGGACAGGGAGGCCTGGCACATTGCAGCCCATGGGGTTGCAAAGAGTGGGACATGACTGAGCAACTGAACTGATAGAATGGTAGCTGCCAGAGTCTGGTGAAAATTGCTCAGTCGTGTCTGACTCTTTGCGACCCCATGAACTATACAGTCCATAGAATTCTCCAGGCCAGAATACTGGAGTGGGTAGCCTTTCCCTTCTCCAGGGAATCTTCCCAACCCAGGGATCGAACCCAGGTGTCCTGCATTGCAGGCAGATTCTTTACCAACTGAGCTATCAGGGAAGCTGGCCAGAGTTTTGGGGGGAGGGGCAAATGGAAAGGTACTGTTAAATGTGTACAAAGTTTCAATTTTGTAAGAGGAGAAAGGTTCCAGAGATGGATAATGGCAATGGTTGCACAACAATGTGAATATTTTTAAGGCCACACTGGACTGTGCACTTCAATATCATTAAAATGGTCAATTTTACATTCCACATGTTTTACAATTTTTAAAAGTAAAAATATTCAGTCTACCCTCAAAGGATGAAGGGTTTCCATCACTTGCTAGTCACAAGGATGTGCAGAAGATGTGGAAAGAAATTCTTAAAGAAAAGTTGGAATGGCACTTGCATGATGGCAACAGGGGCTGGAATTATGAGACCAGACATTTACATTGTCTAAGTCCCTGGGTCTGCGGTACTCTATCACAGCAGCCCTGGGAAACTAGCACATTGGGGAGCCAACTTGCACTGTGTGCTATGGGCTATTCAGAGTAGCATGTTGACAAGTATCTTGAGGTCAAATCTGGATTTGCAGGGAAGAGGGCTACCACCAAATGGTGATGTTGACCACAGGTGGGAAAGGAAAACAGACTGGGAAACAGGCACACCAGGTTTCTACCATCTCTGCGAGGCAACAGTGTTGACATTTGTATGTCATAAGGAATTTTTAAATATTTTTTCCCAAATTTATTCAGTAAGAAACAAATAAATCAGAAAAATTGGCTTCCTAATGTCTGGGGGTTCCCAACTGCCAAACACCATTGGAAACTCAGTGGCAGGCTCTGTGTTTGGGAGTCTCAAAGAAATACAACAAACACAGAGGGATGCTTCAAGGAAAGGAAGATGGGATGCTCAAGAAGTGAGTCTGCTCTGATAGCTGTGGCCAACACTTCCAAAACTATGTTGAATAGTAGTGGTGAGAGTGGGCACCCTTGTCTTGTTCCTGACTTTAAGGGAAATGCTTTCAATTTTTCACCATTGAGGATAATGTTTGCTGTGGGTCTGTCATATATATGTGTTGAGGTATGTTCCTTCTATGCCTGCTTTCAGGAGACTTTTTATCATAAATGGTGAATTTTGTCAAAGGCTTTTTCTGCATCTATTAAGATAATCATATGGTTTTTATCCTTCAATTTGTTAATGTGGTGTATTACATTTATTGATTTGCAGATATTAAAGAATCCTTGCATTCCTGGGATAAAGCCCACTTGGTCATGATGTTTTTAATATGTTGTTGGATTCTGTTTGCTAGAATTTTGTTAAGGATTTTTGCATCTATGTTCATCAGTGATATTGGCCTATAGTTTTCTTTTTTTGTGGCATCTTTGTCTGGTTTTGGTATTAGGGTATGGTGGCCTCATAGAATGAGTTTGGAAGTTTGCCTTCTTCTGCAATTTTCTGGAAGACAGTAATAAAAGGAATCCAGATAGGTAAAGAAGAAGTAAAACTCTCACTGTTTGCAGACGAGATGATCCTCTACATAGAAAACCCTAAAGACTCTACCAGAAAAAAAAAAAAAAAGACTCTGCCAGAAAATTACTAGAGCTAATCAATGAATATAGTAAAGTTGCAGGATATAAAATTAACACACAGAAATCCCTTGCATTCATATACACTAACAATGAGAAAACAGAAAGAGAAATTAAGGAAACAATACCATTCACCATTGCAACAAAAAGAATAAAATACTTAGGAGTATATCTACCTAAAGAAA